GATGTGGATGGGCTGGGCCGCCCAGGGGCCGAGGCCAGAGGGCGGGGTGAGTTCTCAGTGAGAGGCTGCTTGCTGGTGGAAGGGCCGGGTGGTGGCCCCTGCTGTGTGCTATGCCCAGGGTGTGGGCCAGGCCCGGGCAGCTCAGCATGAGCCACTTGGTGCAAAAGACATGGCCACCAGGGGGCGTCCACGTGTGCTCCCCACGCTGGCCCCAGGGAATTGGGTGGATGGCTGGATGGCGAGGTCCCCAAAGGTCTTTACTTCCTTGCAGGGTCCACGAAGGTCTCTGAGGTGTGACAGGCGGGCCTGTTACCTGTTGGTGGCAGAAATACACCCCGAGACTCAGACCTAAGGGTGAAGGCAGTATTATAGCCAGATGTGAGAGGAGCTGGGGGCTGGGGTGGGTACAGGGGTAAAGGTCCTTCCCGCTGGGGTGGAAGAAGCTGGGGGACCCCGGCTCAGCGTGAGGAGCACGGGGAGGGGAAAGCTTGGTGCTGAAGGGTGGAGAATTCAAGGCGAGGCTGAGGAAGGGCCCACGCAGGGCAGAGGTGGGTGTACGTTGCGAGCACCCATGGGCGATGGAGGAGGGAGCCGCCCGGGTGTTGGGTCCTGATGTCCCACTGCAACAGGAAGGAAAGGAGACACCCAGTGAGTTGGGCACAAGGGAGAGGGAGGGGACCACGGGCTCCAGCTGTTTTTTTAAAAATTTATTTGTTTGTTTATTTGGTGCCAGGGATCAAACTCTCAAGATACCAAGCTTGCAAGGCAAGCACTTTTGCCGCTGAGTTAAATTCTCAGTTGCTCCAGCTGCTTTTGTCGGGCTGGGATTGAGCTGCCTTCCAGGGTGGGGAAAGAATTCTGCTGTGGGCCCGAGAGTCACCTGGTGCCCCTCTGCTGCTGGTTCTGTGCCCCAGGAGCAGTCCTGGGGCCGAGGGATGCAGGTGGTGGGGCGTGATGCGCCTCCCAATGGTCCCTGCACTGCCTCTGCCCACCAGTGGCTCACAGAGCGCCAAGAAACACACAGGCCTGCCCAGCAGAACCTGAGCCGGCCTGAGGCCTCCCCAGGCTTCCTCTACCATCCAGCAAGCGGAGGAGGGGAAGCTCTGCACAACCTCCGCCCAGGTTACAGGTTTCACACTCCAGCTCCCGGACCAGCCGGCTCGCTTGGTATCTCTTGCCTCCCCACCGTATGCCGGCTTTTCTTCCCTTTTTCGTGTGATCTCATGGGCGGTAAAGCTCTAAGTGACAAGAGGAGGCACAGATGGAAGTCTGAGACCTGGACAGGAGAGTACACGAGACCTGGCTGCAGAGACGGCGCTGGTCAATTCCTGGGCTCCTGCTGGGAGCCCCGCGCCACCCACAGCAGAGCGTTTCCCCTGGAAAAGTCTAACGCCTGCTGGATTTTGAACCTAAGGCCCCACACGTGCCAGGCAAGGGCTCTGCTCGCCCCCCCCCCCCCAGCCCTGGACAGTCCAGAAATTATAAAGATAATGAGGTCTAGCTTTCCCAGGTCTGTCCCATCTCCAGCACATACCCTGGCTTGGTTAAATGATTCCAGAGGCAGGAGAACATTACCCCAAGGTAACCGATTACACCTTTCAAAAGTTCTTGCTGTTTTTTTGGGTTTTTTTTGGGGGGGGGTGAGGGATTGAATCTATGGATTTCATGCTGAGGCTACATCCCTAACCCCTTTTAAATAAGTCAAGATTTCACTCAATTGCCCAGACTAGACTCAGATTTGGTACCTCAGCCTCAGCCTCACAAGAGTGCTGGGATCACCATTCCTGGCCTGAAAGCCTACTCGTGTTAAATTAAAATCTGGCTTTTTTTTTTTTTTTTTTTTCATCATTTGAGGTGGGGTCTCACTATGCAGCTCAGCCCAGGCTGGTCTTGAACTCACAATGATCCTCTTGCCTCAGCCTCCTGAGTGCTGGGTTACAGGAGTGCACCACCACGCCTGACTGAAATCTGGGTTTTCAAAATGCCTGACTGCTGGTCAGGCTTCAGCCCTGTGTGGGGTGAGCCCCTGAGAGTGGCCACAGTCAGGCACCCTAGCTTGCATGCTGCTTCCCCTGGGCTGAAGGCTGCCCTCTCCAAGGTCCTTGTGGGCCTGCCAGTGCACTCAAACTTAGGACCTCGTGTCATTTTGATAACTGTGGCTCAAGGTCCCTGTGGGCTTGCGACTGTTTTCCCTGTCCTGATTAAATGTTTGGAAACTCAGCCCAAGACTGCAGTGGCTTTTTTTTTTTTTTTTTTTTTTTTTTGGCAACTGAGTAGATTCTGCTGGTTCCCACTCAGCCTTGCAGCAGAGAGCTGGGGTTTCACTCTGTCCCTGTCATCCTGTCCTGTGCACACGTGACTAGGTTTTATCCCAACTGGAGCACGAACTAAACCTCCATAGAATGCTAGGGCTGCCGTCCCTGCTGTCGTATGAGGTGCTGGACCACCCCAGAAAGCTCTGCACACCCTTGGGGAAGTGGAAGGGTCCCCACCAATGGCTACAGCCTGGGTTCTTCACATTGCGTCCACCATTTTGAGTTTTGTTTCTAAACAAGGTCTTGCTAAGATGCCCAGGTTGCCCTTGAGTTTACAGTCCTCCTGCCTCAGCCTCCCTAGTCACTGGGATTACAGATATGTGCCACCATACCTGGCTTACTACCAGTACTGTACGTTATTTGTTTGATTTTGCCTTTCTGAGATAACCTCTTGCAGTGTTGTCATCCAGGAATCTTGAACTCACTGTATAGCCCAGGCTGTCCTGCAATCTTCCTGCCTCAGCCTCCCAAGTACAGTGTTACAGGCCCATGTTGCCAGACCTAGCCATCCTAGCAGTTTTTAAAATTTCTTTGAACTCTTAACATGACACCCATTGTGTTTACAATACTTCTCAGTTTTGTAACATCTGCAAGTTTAATTTGCCTTCTGGGTCTCCAGATGGGCTGTCCTAAAGCCATATTTTCAGCTATGTGTAATGATGCACCCTACAATCCCAGAACTTGGGAGGCTGAGGCAGGAGGATCAAGGGTCCAAGGCCAGCCTGGACTACGTCGATAGCCCTTGTATCAGAGAGGGGAAAAAGGATGGCGGAGGGAGACAGAAACAGACAGGCAGGTTTTCAGCCAGTAGTGCACAAAACCAGTTTTAACAGCGCACAATCAGCATTAAAAACATAATAGAGTAGAAAGGCATCAAAGTTGTGTCATGTAACAAGGGCAGAGTTTGTTTCTCGGAGCCTTTAATGCCCAAGCAGGAGACAGGAATGTCTCACGTATGCATGTGTTGGGGTTTGTTTTTGGGGGGTTCTTTTGGTTCTGGAACTCAAACTCAGGACCTTGTGTCATTTTGATAACTGTGGCTCATGCTCTATGGTTTGCATGTACCGTTCTAATGGAGAAATGCGTGTTTGGAGCTGACTGCGGGTATTTCCATTACACTGGTACGGCTTCCTTTTGTATCAGCATAATAGACCTGTATGTTGGCTTTTGGCCCTGTTTCAATTATGTTACCTACAGAAAAGCCCCTGTAGTCCAAGCTGCATCTTCCTAGGAGGTGGACGTTGGGTGGGAGCTCACACGTCCCTAGACCCCAGCTTTCCGTGACTTTCCTGCCTGTGCCAGTGTGGGGTGACACCACCTTCCATGGGGCCCTTGCTGTGCACAGACAGGACACACAGCTGAGCTACCCTGGTAGCCCATGCAGGGACAGTGGCTCTAAAACTTGTGGGATATGGACAGGAATCTGTAGTTGGGGTTCATTTTTAAAGACAGTTGTGGTGGGTGTAGTGGCCCAGGCCTGTAATCCCAGCACTCAAGAGGCTGAGGCAAGAGGGTCATCGTGAGTACAAGGCCAGCCTGGACTAGACACTGAAACCGCAAAGACCAAAGAGGCATCTGAGGAGTTACCTGTGGCCCCTGGTCCTGGGACCCACTGAGATTTGAGACACCATAGTCAACTTTGTGACAACCAACCCCTGGAATTCGGGGGAGGCGTGGTCGGGTGAGCACCTGTACTGTATCACTACCGTGCCTGTGTTTTTTTTCCTTCTTGTTCGTAAGAGTGTCATGAACCTGGGCATGGTGGCCTGTAATTCCAATTACTTGGGAGGCTGAGGCAGGAGGATTGGCAGTTCAAGGCCAATTGGGAATACACTGAAGAAATAGAATATACTGAAAATCTCACTGATGCCAGCTGGAAAAAGGACCTGGTGCATGTTCTCCAGTGTCTGTGTGAAGCAGTAACAAATCCAGATGTGGTGTGGTTATTTTGTTTGTTTGAGGTTTTTCTGTCCTTTTGAGACAGAGTTTTACTGCATAGCCCATGCTGGCCTCTGAACTCACAGTGATCCTCCTGCCTCAGCATCCTGAGTGCTGGGATTATACTTATGTGACACCACATCCTCTCTGGATTAATCACAGTACCTGAGACAGGGTCAGGTGCTTTGTAAATGGTTCTACTGTAGTTCCAGGGCCAGTGACAGCGGCGTCTGTATGTGTTCAGGACAGGTACAGTCACTTTTCTGACTTTTGCATCTGAGATTGGTCAGATCTGTGGCTGTGGAACCCGGGATAGAGAGGGCGACTCATTGTGAGGAGCTACAGAGAAACAAGTCTGCCTACAGAGATAACAGCTTTTTAACACTTGGCGTTCATATTCAGCTGTATTCATATGTAGAAATGTCAACACAGACAAAATAGTGTTTCCCACATTTCTCTCCTTATATTCAGCCATTAGTCTCTCCTTATATTCAGTCTAGGTGATTCTTATGGACCATACCTGTTGCTCTGTGTAAAAATGTAAATTCACTTAAGAAAATATCCCTGCTGGGCATGGTGGTGCACATCTGTAATTCCAGCACTCAGGAGGCTGAGGCAAGAGGGCCACTGTTTGAAGCCAGCCTAGGCAAAATACTGAGTTTAAGACCACTATGTAGCAAGACCTTGTATTGTTTTTATTTTTAAAAAGAACTGCAACGCGTCCTTGTTTTGTTTTGGAAAAGGACCCATTTGCCCTGTCCTTTGGAGAGGGGAGGTGTCCTGTGAAGGAGCTCTGCCTGGGCCTTCTTCGCTGGTTGGGCAGGAAGCCTGCCTTGGAGGAGAGTTACCAGCTGGGGGCGCCCTCACACCAGCGCGGGTTCCAGCGCAGTGTGGGTGAGCCCGATACCCAAGGGGGGGGGAGGGTGGCGCCACCGCCTGGTTGCTGGGTCAGTCCTGGCCATGTGCCCTTCTGTTCTAGTGAGGGCCCTGCTGCAGGGGCAGGGCAGGCGGGCTGAGCAGCCGAGGTCAGGCCTCTCTCCCCTATCCTCGGTGTCCCTCGTGTCACTCGGCTTCCTTCTTCCACAGATCCACAGCTGAGCATGGCAGCCACCGCCGCGGTCAGCCCCAGTGACTACCTGCAGCCCGCCGCCACCGCCCAGGTTAGTCACAGAGCTTCCACACAGGAGCTGGGGGCGGTGCCCACAGCGTGGATCCGCCCGAGCTGCATCCTGCAGGGTGCCATCCTTGACGGGGAAGCAGGGACCCCTTAATGGGCTTGTTATCATGTTGCCCCCCAGTACCGGGGGTTGTACCCAGGGCTTTGGCACTGAGCTGCATCAAACTGAGCCCAGTTTCAAATTTGAAACTGAGCCCAGTTTCAAATTTATTTCGAGGCTGGGCATGGTGGCGTACACCTGCAATCCCAGCACACAGGAGGCTGAGGCAGGAGGATCACCTTGAATTCGAAACCAGCCTTGGCCACATTGTGAGTTCAAGACCATCTTAATCTACATATCAAGACTTTCCAAAAAAAAGTGCATATTTATATATATGACAGGTTTTCCCTAAGTTGCCATGTTTCCTCCCATTTAAGGCTCCCAGGTTGCTGGGGTGGCAGGGGCACCCCATGCCCATCTCTAGAGCCCCTCTCACTGCAGCACTGAGAGCACAGCCCTGCCCAGTCCAGGAATCCACCCCGATCTGGCGCTGGCACCTGTAGCAGTCTCCCTCTGCTGGCTCCTACCCTTTCGGGGGCGCACCAGGCCTGTGGGGCCTGCGCCACTCACCCACGGGGTGCAGGCCACGAGACCGAGGGGAAGGGCAGAGCTCCGTGGGCCTCACTGCCTCACACCCGCCTCCGCCGGTTTCCGTTTCCACAGGACTCCCAGCCCTCGCCCTTGGCCCTGCTGGCTGCAACATGTAGCAAAATCGGGCCCCCCGCGGTGGAAGCGGCCGTGGCCCCGCCAGCGCCCCCCCAGCCCACGCCCCGGAAGTTGGTCCCCATCAAGCCCGCCCCTCTCCCTCTCAGCCCGGGCAAGAGCAGCTTCGGCATCCTGTCCCCCAAAGGCAACATCCTGCAGATCCAGGGCTCGCAGCTGAGCGCCTCCTACCCGGGCGGCCAGCTGGTGTTCGCCATCCAGAACCCCAACATGGTCAGCAAGGGCACCCGTGCCGGCACCGGTGTGCAGTATCAGGCGGTCCCGCAGCTGCAGGCCGGCAGTACCCAGACCATCCAGGTGCAGCCCGGCCTCACCAGCCAGATCCAGATCATCCCTGGCACCAACCAGGCCATCATTGCGCCCTCGCCGTCTGGCCACAAGCCTGTGCCCATCAAGCCGGCCCCGGTCCAGAAGCCCAGTGCCACCCCGGTGCAGAGCGGTGCCAACGTGGTGAAGCTGACAGGTGGCGGCGGCAACGTAACGCTCACCCTGCCGGTCAACAACTTGGTCAGCGCTGCCGGCGACCCCGGGACCCCCGCCCAGCTCCTCGCCGAGAGCCCCCCCACCCCGCTGCCCAAGACCGCCAAGAAGGCCCGGAAGAAGGGGCTCCCCACCACGCAGCCGCCGCCGGCAGTGGCTGTGACCGAGCAGGTGGAGACCGTGCTGATCGAGACCACAGCGGACAACATCATCCAGGCGGGCAGCAACCTGCTGATCGTACAGAGCCCGGGCGGCGGCCAGCCCGCCGTGGTGCAGCAGGTACAGGTGGTGCCGCCCAAGGCCGAGCCGCAGCAGGTGGTACAGATCCCCCAGCAAGCGCTGCGCGTGGTGCAGGCCGCCTCGGCCACTCTGCCCACCGTCCCGCAGAAGCCGTCGCAGAACTTCCAGATCCAGGCGGCGGAGTCCACGCCCACTCAGGTACCGCCAGCCCTCGGCCGACCCCGCCCTCATCCTAGGTCTCACTTTGCCACCCAGACTGTCCACAAACTCGCCATTTGCCTGTCTCGGCCTCCCAAGTGCTGCAATTACAGGCGTACACATTTTAATAATGAAGTTTCCGGTTTTTTGTTTTGCTGGGCATCAAACCTAGATCCTCTGCTGGGGATACAGCTGAGCGGCACAGCGCCTGCCTGGCAAGTGCAGGGTTGTGAGTTTGATCCCAGTACCCCCCACACCCCCAAAAACCTAGACCTTCCCTGCCACTGAGCTACACCCTGCCCTAGTGTGCTTTTTTTATTAGTTGAACTTAGATATTCAGAACAGCTGGCAGAAAGGCAGGAATTCCATTCAGAACTATAGAGTTTGTTGTAACATAAAACAAGGAGAAAAACAGCTCCCTTAGTTAATGACAGAAAAGTAACAGAAAGCGGATATTGAGAGTCAGCCAGAAATATCCCTGGCTACTCCAGATATCTTGGCTCAGTGCTGCGTCCTGTGCTGAGTAGTCCTGAGATGGGGTGATGGGAGGTTAAGAAGAAACTAGCCACATACTAAAAGGGGAGCTGGGGCCAGGTGGGGCCTGACCTCTGATGCAGAGGCCACAGCCCAGGGGGGCCTGCCTCTCTGGGTACCCTCTGTAACAAACCGGGAAGTGCAGGAGAGGCAGGAGAGGCCAGCGGTGCAGTCTTGGGTGTTTTGCTGAGAACCCTGAAGGCAGGCCCTCTCTGAGCTGGTCTTGCAGTTAACCCAGGAGCACTAAAGCAGATACCTGCCGGGCTGGCCCTGTTCCAAGGCTCTCCTGTGGCCTCCATGTTCCAGTCAGACCTTGTTCCAGACCCTGGGAGTTCTGGGACCTCCAGCTTAGCCTGGGTTCAGCCCTCCCTGCAGCTGGGAGGCAGTGGTTGCCCTTTGTTGAGGCTTCTTGGACACTAGAGAGGAGTTTGTGTTGCAGGCTGAGGGGGAGGAATTGGAGGTAAAGTTGCAGCACCTCATAGACCATAAGTTGACAGGGCCCCCAATCCTGTCAGATTGCTAACTGCAAACCCTACCCTCTTTTGCATTGACTCTGGAACACACACTGCCCTCCAAACTGGGGGCCAGGTTTGTTTAGTATGGAAAAGCAGCACCTGGTATGTGTGTACATAATCATAGCTACTCAGGAGGCTGAGGCAAGCCAGTCGTGGTGGCCCATGCAGCACTTGGGAGGCTGAGGCAGGAGGATCTTCCCTTCTCTTCTCTCCCATGAGCTTCCACATCTGGAGACTGATGGGAGCAGGGCTTCACTGGGCTTTATAATGGTTGCACATACACAGAAGGATTTATATATGACTTCATTTTTGTTTTTGTGATACTGAGGTGTACTGAGTAGGGTCCCCAACCCTGTTTATTTTCAGACAGCATCTTTCTAAATTTCCCAGGCTGGCCTCCCACTTGAGATCCTTCTGCCTCACCCCCTTGGGTAGCTGGGGTTATAGGAGTGCATCACTGTGCCCAGCTTTTTCATCCTTTACTTAACTTTCATGACACGGGCACTTCTTACAAATTTTTATTTAAGACGGCCTTGCTACAAAGTCCAGGCTGGTCTCTTTTTTTTCTTTTTGGTACTGGGAATCAAACTCAGGACCTTGGGCACTTACTAGGCAGATGCTGTGCCGCTGAGCTGTATCCACAACCCTCAGGCTCTCGAACTCACTCGCCTGGCTGCCTGGAGCTTACAGGGATCAGCCTGCCTCAGCCTAGCAAGTGCTGGGATTATAGGCATGTGCCACCACATCCGGCAATAAGTATCATAGTTTTATTTTTCCATCTTTGCCAGTCTAGATTAGAGAATAATTCCTTCTGCGTGGCTCTCAAGGACCTGCGGTTATTTATTTGATGGTCATTTGCAGTACACTGCCTTCCAGTGCTCTGAGCTGGGCCTTCTGTGCTGAGTGGGTCTCAGTCAGTGGGCAGCCTGGGCCAGTGCTGCCTGCCTGATTGAGCACAGCCCTGTCTGCGTGCAGGTGCAAGCTGCTCACAGCACAGACCAGGCTGGGAGCAGCGCCCCCACGCCCTTCCCCGAAGGGCAACGTGAAGGCACAGAGCCAGCGCTCTTCCTCTCTGGCCCCCAGGTCTACATCCGCACGCCTTCCGGTGAGGTGCAGACAGTGCTGGTCCAGGACAGCCCACCCGTGACAGCCACGACCACCTCCACCACTCCCTGCAGCAGCCCCGCGCCCCGAGCCCCCCACCTGAGCGGGACCAGCAAAAAGCACTCTGCTGCCATCCTGCGCAAGGAGCGGCCACTGCCCAAGATCGCGCCAGCCGGCAGCGTCATCAGCTTGAACGCTGCCCAGCTGGCAGCCGCTGCCCAGGCCATGCAGACCATCAACATCAACGGCGTCCAGGTCCAGGGCGTGCCGGTCACCATCACCAACACCGGGGGTGAGGAGGGCCCTGCTGGGGCCCGGGTGTGCGTGTGCTCCGGCCGGGAGCTGGGGAGGCTGCGGCTGCCTGCCACATGGCCTCTGGAGTCCTGAGCGTGGGCAGAGGGCAGCTGGCTATTGCAGGCCACAGCACTAAGTCTCCTCTTTCCATCGCTGATGGATCTGTGGCATGTGGGCAGCTGGCAGGACCCCAAGAGGGGGGATGAGGTATCCTAAGGGGCCTTTTTCCAAAGCCCATAGAACTCACTCTTTCCTTCCTTCCTTTGTGGCACAGGGCACTGAACCAAGAAACTGCATCTTCAACCCTTTCGTTTTTACCTCTGGAACAGGGTTGCTAAGTCACTGGGCTGGGCTTGAGCCTGCTATCCTGCCTCAGCCCCAGAGCCCGGGGTTACAGGCATGACCAGTGCACGGGATGGTTTCCTCACCGTTCCTAACATCAAAAGTCAGGCAGGCGTGGTGACAGCACACCCATATCTCAGCTACTCAGGAAGCTGAGGAGCAAGTTGGAGGCCAGCCTGGGGAAGCCCCGGGGGCAAGTGCTGGCCCAGCCGTGTGAGGCCCTGGGCTTGTCCCCAGCACCACACTCAGTGGACCCATTCCAAGTCCCAGAGACGGCCCTGGAGCCCAGGTCCTGGGCCTAGGCTGGAGGGGAGCAGGGAGAGCAGGCACCCTCTTGCTGAAGCCAGACAGGCTGGGCCCCGCGGCGCCTGGCTGAGAGCGTTCTGCCCTCAGAGTGCAGCCCTTGCTGCTGGTTTTCACACTGTTCTTTGGCCGTGCTCCGGGCTAACCCCAGGCCCCGTGCATGGGAGCCAAGCACTGTACCTCGGTGCTCTTCCCCAGCTCTATTTTTTGAAACCTCGAGTCAGGGGCTCACTAAGCTGCCTCACCTGGCCCTGGTCCTGCTCCTTCCAGCACCCGGGTAACTGGAGCTGCAGGCCTGAGCCAGCACACTAGGCTGCGGTGCATGTGCTCGTGAGCCGTGTCTCTGCCGCTCCCTTGCTGTGCGGCCTTGCTGCCCCTGAGCCCCGGCTTCCTCCCAGGGGATAAGGGCCTGTCCTAAGCCAGTCCAGGTCTCCCAGGGGCCCTGAGACCCCACTGCCTGACCCAGCACGTCCCCTGCCCGCAGGGCAGCAGCAGCTGACGGTGCAGAACGTTTCGGGGAACAACCTGACCATCAGTGGGCTGAGCCCCACCCAGATCCAGCTGCAGATGGAGCAGGCACTGGCCGGGGAGGCGCAGCCAGGGGAGAAGCGGCGCCGCATGGCCTGCACATGTCCCAACTGCAAGGACGGGGAGAAGAGGTGAGCAGGCCCTCCTTAACCCCCTCCCTACCGGCTGCTCTGCCCAGCCCTGCCAGGCCTCTCCCATGCACACTGAGCTGACCTCAGCCCCGCTCTGCTCTGCCCTGTCCACCGCTCAGGTCTGGGGAACAGGGCAAGAAGAAGCACGTGTGCCACATCCCGGACTGCGGGAAGACTTTCCGGAAGACCTCGCTGCTGCGGGCCCACGTGCGCCTGCACACCGGCGAGCGGCCCTTCGTGTGCAACTGGTTCTTCTGCGGGAAGCGGTTCACACGCAGCGATGAGCTGCAGAGGCATGCCCGCACCCACACAGGTCAGCCCCGTGGCCGTCCTGGGGGGCTGTGACTGGCCAGGGCTGTTCTCGGTGAGGAGGTGGCTTGGGGGCAGGCCCTGCAGGCATCCACCCTGTGGCCAGCTCTCAGGGAGGTGCTGCTGTTTAGCTGGTCCAGAGAACAGGCCTGTTCCAGACTAGAGCTGGGTCTGTGTGACCCAGGGCCCCAGCTCCCGACCACAGCAGCAGGACAGGATGAGAGTGGACATCACCCAAACACAGACCTGGCCTGGACTAGAATAGTCCCTGCTGAGGGCCAGCTTAGGGCAGGGCAGGGCCAGATGGGGGTGTCTGTCCCACCAGGGTTCAAGTCCAGGGGAGACAGTCAGGACACAGCAGCCCGGCCTGGGAAGAAGCTGGGCGCTTGGGCTGAGGCGCAGGCAGGTTGTCGAAGGTGGGGAACTGGGGTAGAGGAAAAGAGAAGGAAGCATGGTGGGAGGCGACAAGGCCAGGGTGGCTGCTCAGGACCCCACCGGTGCTGCTTCTGGTGCTCAAGTGGCTGTGTGGGTGACGGCGTCTCCTCTTCCAGGCGATAAGCGCTTCGAGTGTGCCCAGTGTCAGAAGCGTTTCATGCGGAGTGACCACCTCACCAAGCATTACAAGACACACCTGGTCACCAAGAACTTGTGAGGCTGTGAGGCGGAAGGCCTGCAGACGCGGAGCCCGGGTCCCCCAGTCCCGCGGGCCCGGCTCCTGTGGCGGCTGAGTCCCCACAGGAAGGGGCTGTGCCCCCGCCCCCTCCCTCTCGCCTGGAGCTGTGGCCCGTCCAGCCCGGGGACCCCGGCCCTGCCCGATGAGACGTTCTATCCCAGGACGCGTGGGACCCTTCTTTCCAAAGGAAAACGTGCATTTCACTCCGTCGAGGAGCAAAGCGAGTCCCTTCCCTCCACCCCCACCCCAGCACCCCCGACACTGCCGGGGTCCCAACGTGCCATAGCCCCTGCCCCACCCCGGCCACAGGGACACCCCGGGTCCTCCCGGGCGCCCCGCAGCGGCTTGAAGGCCGCTGGAGACATTCCAGCTTGGAGCCAGGGTCGGTGCCGGGCCGCCCTTCTCTGCGGAGAACGTTGCCTTATACTCTACTTCCGATGATGAGCACTGTGTATTGTGTTTGCTTTAACAAGTTTTATTTAATTGCTTCCCTCGTCCTCTCCTTGGTTGTCCGCGCCTTGTGCCTGCTTTCAGTTAGGGTTTTGGGGAGCAGTGATGAGCGTATGAATTCTTTCTCTCGTCCTAAGCAACGCCGTGTTTCCACCTGGATCCAGGTCTGACCCACACAGACGCCCTCCCACTGGCCCCGCCGCCCTCCAGCTCTGTGTACAGTGTATATTGTATAATAGACAGCCACATCTACTACATGTTTTAAAAACATTGCTTGTTATTTTTGAGGCTTTTAAATTAAACAAAAGAAATCCAAATTTATTTTCAGTTGTAACTGCTTGAGGTGTATGTTTTATGAATTAAGTGATAGATTTGTTATCCTTTATTAACAGTGGACTTGGTTGGTCAGTGTTGAGCTGACAAAAATTTTTTCTTGTTAATAAATCTAGTTGCCTGAGGCAAAATCTGCACCTCAGAGGTTGAGCTTCCTGTCTGTCACCTGGGAGGGCACAGAGGGGTTCAGGGGAGGGACCCTGGATACTGGGGGACAGCTGCACCCCACAACGGGGCCTCAAGGCCTAGCCTGCAGAGGCTGGGAACAGGGAGATGCCGTTTGCAAGATGCAAAGCCTGCAGCGGCGCCCTGGCAGCTCTCCGATGCTCCCGTCTTCGACCCAGCACGTTGGAGAGCCGCCAGGGAACCTTGGGGGCCTGTGGTGTCAGCTGGTTAAAACCAGTGAGGTCACTACGACGACACTGGTGCCGTTTTCCTGAGCTCTGCCGATGCTGAGCTGAGCTCTGGCCGTCTGTGTGTCTCTCACCTTTTTGTCATAAGCCTGGTCAGGGTCCCTTACCACCCAGCTGCTGGTAGAACCCCGACTTGTCAGAGTCGGCCCGTGACCAGTGATCCATCCGTATGAGGAAGTTTTTCCTTAACAGTTGCAGTCCAGGGCTGGGGTACAGCCCAGGCGTAAGCGCCTGTCCGGCAAGCACAAGGTCCCCAGTTAAGTCATTGGTACCAAAAAACCAGCTGTGTTCTAGCCTGATGCTGTCAGCTATGAGTGAGGCAGAAATGAGTGAAAGAGACCCCGGTGTCCTGTGAGCCCTAGCCCCCCGTTCAGGTGTTGAAACTGCCACTTAGGCAGGGCCAGTGGTGGGACTTTTCTCCACTGCAGAATGCCAGCCAGAGGCCACGCTCACCCAGGGATCCTTCCGGTGTCCCCTGTGCTAGTCAGGATGACAGGGAAAGGGCTCATGGCAGCAGCGGAGGACGGCAGCCAGGCGTCCTACCTGTGACAGGAAAGCAGCAGGCCCCTGCGGGCTGGGGTCCAACCCTCAATTCGCTTCTGTTAGCACGAGGGTGGGAAGCAGGGTGGTGGCTGCCCACACAGAAGCCAAGATGACGGTGTACTACAGCTGGAGTCTGGCTGCGGTGTTCTCCCGTGAACAGTGTCTACAGGCTCCTGTGCGCCCCTCAGCATCCGTGTGACTGCAGCAGGGCCGGGTCTCTCATGTGGTGGAGTTGGGGTCGCCTGGGGTCCAGTGGTGTCCGCTGGAGTCGAGTTTTGACAGGGTCCTGTGGGTCAGGATGAGGGGTCCAGGTAGCTGAGGGGTCCTTGGGGTGAGCCTTCTTCAGCTTGGATACTGTACCCAAAGGACAGCACAGCTACTTTAACAGCACAGGAGTGTGAGGGGCTGTTTTTTAATTTATTTATCTTGGTGTTTTTGAGACAGGGTCTCACACAGGGTTTCCTGAGGAATGACCAGAGGGTCTAGGTGCATGTTGGACCCTGACCCATGGACCGTGGTGTGCCGATCTCCTGGCAGAGTTTTAGCAGGTCTGTAAGAATCAAGTCATTTCTGCTGTGGAGCCCAATCCACTGTCACTTCAGACACTGAGGTGCCAGCAGCCCATTTTAGAAAACGATTCCCTGTAGCAAGACCTTGGCCACTTCTTCGGCATTTTTTGTCCACTTGGTACGGCTTCTGCCCAGCTAAATGGGTACAAACAGATCCTCGTCACAGCTGCGGCCTGCCTGTCTGTGAAGTCCGCCTCTTGAGTCTTTAAAGGGGGAGCTTTCAGTGTGTTGTGTGTCCAGAGCAGGTTTTGGCTTCTGTAGAGTTGTTCCAGACACACTCTGACAGTGTCTGACAGTGACACAATAGGAAGACACTCAGGGGACAAGAAGTTCCAGCCCACCAGCGTCTTCAAAGTTGTGTTTTTATTGGTACTGGCGATCAACTCACAACCATGCACTTGCAAGGCAGGCACTTAAGTGGCTGAGCTACATCCCCGCCCCTTTTTTTTTCTTTTTGAGACAGGGTCTCACTATGCAGTTCAGACAGGCCTTGAGCTCGCTTTGTAGCCCGGGCTGGTCTCAAACTCTCAACAGTCCTCCTGCCTCAGCCTCCAAAGTGCTAGGATTACAAGTCTCAGCCACCACACCTGGCTTAATGTTGTCTTTCTTAAATGGGTTATTGTGGGGCTGGGGATTTAGCTCAGCGGCATAAGCACCTGCCTTGCAAGCAGGCGGTCGTGAGTTTGAGCCCTGGTACCAATAAAAATGAAAAAGACAAAAAAAAAAAAGAAAAAAGAATAAAAAATTTTAAAAAATGGGTTATTTTGCAGCCTTCCTGGATGAAGGGGTAGGCATTACCCTTCGGTTCAGTGTACTTGGTCCCACATTGCCCACTGTCCTCCCCGGTTTTGAAAGCTCCTCTGTGCTCAGTGGTCTTCAGTCACCATACACAGAATGGAGAACCGGGTGCTCCATTCTGACCGTGGAACTTGGGCAGGTGTGGGCTGCCCTTCCAAAAGGAGTGCTCAAAGCTGTCAGAGCTAGGAGGGCTTTGGGACCCTCTGGATGCCATGGTGTGTTTGAGACGGACATTGGTGCTGACGGCTTGCTGCCTGGCCTGCCCACTTCCTTTTGTGCTGGTCTTGACCGTCCCCTTCGATGTCTTCAGCATGATGGCTTTGCTTTTGGTAGTGTCTGTTTGGATGGGTCTGCCAGGGTCTGACCTTTGGTGTTAGGATTCCGAGTGCCACTGTCAGCAGTTTGAGGTTTATCAGAGGCAGAGAGACCGAGCAGCACTGAGCGACACAGAGGGAATCAACTTTATTAAGCCAGCCGCCCAGAGGAGTTAGGGACCACATTCTGAGCCCCGGCCCTGGGAAAAGTGGAATTTTACACCTGTTTTGGTCGGGGTGGGCCAAGGGCAAGCTGAGTGGAATTTTATTGAAGCAGAAGCAGTTTCACAGAAGCAGACGTTTGTTTATTCTTTTTTTTTTTTTTTTTTGTCTTTTGTCTTTTGTCTTTTTATCGGTACCGGAGATCGAACTCACAACTGCCTGCTTGCCAGGCAAGTGCTTATGCCGCTGAGCTAAATCCCCAGCCCCTAGTTTGTTTATTCTTAAAAGAAACTGAAACCCACCAGAACAGAATAAAGCCAATCAAAACAGTGAAAGTGGTACAGAACTTCAAAACAGGATAACCAGAAATCAGCAGTGGTTACCATAATATGTGTTGTCGTCACAGTAGTTGTCTATACCACCAGACCTAATAAAATCAAACAAAACAAACAGAACAATATTGGGTTTCAAAAAAGAGACAAGAGAAATCCCCCAAAGGTGCTGCACTGTATACTGTTGTCCTCCCAATAGATGCTCAGATTACCGGCCTTAGGCCTGCAAAGTCAATCAAACAACATACGCATTTAGTTGTTTTTGTACGTCAGTTGCTATCAGTTGCTATCAGCCTGTCCTCCCCATCAGCCGGGTGCTTACTGGCAGGGGTGGGGAGCCTTCCTAGGCCCTGCATGGTCTGCCTAGAAGCAGTTTAGTGGGTGTTGTTATCTTGTAGTTAGAAGGGGACTAAGGTTAAGGTACAGTGGGGTACAGAAATTACCATATCTTGTGGTCACAGAACAGAGGCTATTGGAACACTGGTTACAAAGTAGAACACAACAGGAACAGAATGTTCTCTCCTGGGTGAGGCTCGGGGTTGAGCACCTAGAGGGAGATCCTAGATGGGGATCTCGAGGTGGCCCTGTTTGGTCTCATTCCCCCTCTTTGCTGCCAGGGCATCCTGCGTAGCTACTGGGCTGTGTTGAGTCTCACTGGGTCACTGGTGCACTGACTGACTGGTGAGGGCTTGAGCCGGGTTCTGAAAACACTTTAAGGTACATCTAAGGCAGTATCCGAACAGTAAAAAAAGACAGATGCGGAGTGGTGTTCCTGCCAAAAGTATAACCCACTGTGTTAGTCAGGGTTTTACTGGAAAAAACAGGTATAACATGAAATATACAATGGATAAGAAACGACAAGATTGGCTTACAATGGTCAGCCACAGTCGCATGAGGAACCTTGCCGAGGGTGTCTACCCACCGGAGACCAAAGGGGTCAATCCAAGGTCTGGAGTTCACCCCAGTGTCCAGTGCAAGTCCACACCCGCAGGCTGATGGGTCTGCAACAGGAGGCCAAAGGCTCTAGGATGGAAGGCTGAAGGGTCTACACTGGAAACCACGAGATGAGGTCCAAACCACAGGCGAAGACTGGAGCATCTCCCCAGAATGGAATGCGTTCGCCCTTCCTCCTTCCCTTTTAAACCTCCAGGTGAGGAGCCTCCCTAGGGTGGGTCTTCCACACCTTGTACAAATAATGAAAAAGAAGATTAAGAGGGCTCTCTGGGCAGTGGGGCAACTACAGCTAGGTCAGTGGCAAAGACGTGAGTGGGCAGTCCAAGAAGACCTGGGAACCAGAGAAGGAGACTGTCCCATGCCCAGCACCCTCAGGCTGTAGCCATGTGTGGACTGGTCAGCTTTGGGTGTGACCAGAGCAGGGTGGTTGTCTGTAGGGCTGGTCTCTGGTCAGGGCTGGAGTCGGGGCCTGGGTGGGTCTGAGGATCTGAGCAGGCCGTGCAAGTTGGCACGTTTGAGCCTGGTGTGGTGGGTCCATGGGGTGTTACCTATAACCACAAGAGCACGGGTGAGCAGCACAGTACTGCAGGTCCAGTCCAGATGGGTTGGAGGGGTTTGCTTTCCTAGTCTTTTACCCAGTCTGAGTCTCCTGCCTGAAACAGATACATTGGATTGCCGGTGGGGAGAGGGGTCCTCTCTGAGATAGTTTTAATTTGAGAAAAGACTGATAGAGTTGGATTTAGGTACTCAATCTAAACAGTGCAGAGAAGGAGAGAGAGATAAAAACAAGTTGCGAAAGTTTAATGCAGGCATGGAGAGTCACCACGACAAAGACTGTGAGAGCTTACGTGCATTCTGATGGGAGGAAGGGCACAGGGTGGCTGATGTAAGCTGCTCAGCGTGATGAAATTAAAAGGGATCTGGTTATTTTTGGCGTGTGCAGGCTTTGCAAAGGCAGCTGGGAAGAAGAAACATAGGGGTTTCTGGGAAGAAGGAGCTGGGCACCACTATGACTCAGCATTGGAGCGTCGCCATGGTGACTGGGCAGGTCTTGGGCAGGGGATCTCTCATTCCCATCTCTTTAGTGTTGCTGGGTGCCACTAGTCTCCAGCTGATTCCTGCTGAAGGGGGTGGCATGGGGCCTAAGGGAAAGGAGTGTGGGCCTGAGGGCCGTCCCACCTGAGTTCCTGAGGCAGTGATATCACTCAGAAGGAGGATTTCTTGGGTGATGAATGCCTGTACCCTAGCCTGGATGAATCATGAGAGAAGCCTGAAGACATGGGGCAAGAAGCAAAAAAAAATTATTATAGTAATTGAGGGGCTCACAAGGGACATTAAGAGAGGGGCCCGTGAGTCTAGGGAGCCCCACCATGATGACCAGGAGGGGGACTCTGGAAGGTAGTTTCTACCCCTTATATCAGCTGCCAGGTTTTTAATTTTTTGTACCTGATTTTTTACTATACCTGACTGATACGAAATAGCAGCTTTCCTCTCTCAGTGTTGTACCGAACCCCTCTTTTTCTGCTCTGACAGCACAAAGTGCCCTTTCCTGTTGGGGAACCGTCATCGCTAGTGAGTTTATTTGGTCGTGGAGTGAGTCGATGCTTTGGGAAAGTGACCTTATGGCTTTTTCTATGTTGTGAGATATCTGGGGATAATAGCTTGGCTGGTTTCTAATCTGGCTCTCATTCTACTGGCTGAGAAGACCTCTATACCTGCTAACACTGGAGCTAGTTGGATGGCCCTGCACTCCGGGTGGTTTGGTTTATAGTAATGTGAGATTTTTGTTGTCTGTTATGAGGGAGCCGTGCGGAGCCAGAAATCCAATGGTGCGTGTGCCAGGAAGATAGGAATAGGCCCCCTTACCACAAAGGGAGAATGTGTTTGGGGGTGGATGTGTTTCTGAATTTGGATTTTGAAGATTTAGCTGGAGGTAGTGTGTATAGCCTGCTAAACCTCCCTAGAATAGGTCAGAATGATGGTCTGGAATGGTGCAGTTATGGGTAGATTGTAGGCAGGCGAGACTACGGGGCTGGAGTTGATTTGGAGCAATTTGTAAGGGACTGATAAATGGGCTGAGGTGCTATTTGGCGTGAGGCATGAATGGTTAAACATTACTGGTTGGACCATGTACATATCGACCGAGTAAGGCAGGCAAAGCCAGCAGTCAGGGTGGGAATAATTATTTCCCTTTTGAAGCAAAGTATAGGTCATATTGAGATTTGTGTTGTTAGCAGGAGAGATTGTCTGAGTTTTATCTGTGGTGTTTTTTGAGGTGTATAGCCTGGCCGGAGTCCTTCTTGTGGGCTCTGGACCTCCAGTTGGACTCATGGGAGGCACTGGCATGGGTTCTAGGTTTTCATCTGGACTCATGCAGGACATTGCTGTGGGATCCAGGCCGTTGCTGAATATCCTGTGTTTTTGGTGTTGTGGACAGATTTCTTGTGTTAACTCTGGGTGTTAACTCTGGGTGGCCATCATAGAATAAAATGATAAATTCCATGTCCTGATGCTAATCCTCCCAACCCCTCACTACAACAGTGTGGAAGAAACGAGAGGACTGGAATACAGTCAGCTAGGGAGACAGATTTAGAGGGTGAAGGCAAATTTTGCAAGGGGAATGGTCTGCCATGCATAAGCCCAAGTGGGCTTCACTGAACAGGGGACCTAGGGAGGAGACCTTGGAGATGTAAGGGCTAGGTCAATGTTCTGGCCACGGCTGACAAAATTCTAGGCTAAATTGGGTCAAGTGAGTCTTCACAAGCCTGTTTGCCTTTTCGACTTTTCCTGAGGCTGGTGGATGCTATGGTACGTGTAGCTTCCGAGTGATGTTGAGGCTTGCAGGGGCTGGGGATTTAGCTCAGCAGCATAAGCGCCTGCCTGGCAAGCACGAGGTCTTGAGTTCGATCACTGTACAAAAAAAAAGGAGCCTAGAAGAAACTGGACCCCTGGGGGCTTTGCCCAAGACTTCCCAACAGGACTAAAAGCAAGCGGCCACTACGCCTCCAAAACCGTGAGCCAGAAGAGTCCTTTCCTATGGTTCCGTTTGGTTTGGTTTGTGACAGTCTCACTGTTAGCCCAGCTCAACCTCAAACTCAGTGACTCCTCATGCCTCAGCCTCCTGAGGGCTGGGATTACATCTTTCACCACCACATCTGGCCCTCTTTTTCAAACTGATCGTCTCAGGCTCAACTGTTTAAAAACACAGCCAGGCAGTTCCATCCCTTGGGCTGTTATTGTACGTTCCCCTCTCGGGCCAGGCGCATTCTTTTCGTTGCTGTGTTTCTGACAGAGGGTCACACCATACAGTCCAGGCCTGACACTCACTATGCGACGATGGAGGGATGGTGGTGAACCCCTATCATCCTAGCACTTGGAAGGCTGAGACAGGAGAATCACTGGTAGTACTGGCCAGCCTGAACTACATGGTGAGCCCATCTCTGAAAAACAAAAGACGAAAATAAAGGACTGGTAATGTAGCTCAGTGCAAAGGCCCTGTGTAATCCCTAGTACACAAAAGAAAAATAATTTTAAGTCCCAAATTGGAACAGAGCTGGGGGTGGTGATGCATACTTACAGTCCCAGTACTTGGGAGGCTGAGTCAGGAGGATCTCAAGTTTGAGCCAAGCCTGGGAAATTTGAGAGCTTAGCTCTAAAAATAAAAAAGGGCCTCAACCCCCAGTACCCCACTCCCTGAAGAAAAGAAACTGCACTGAACACTGACGCAAGGGACCTTGATCACCCAGCCAGCTTCACACTGAGTGGCCTACAGGCTCTATAGTGTCTAGGAGGTGACCAGGATGCTGAGATTCTGGAGATGATGGAGGTGGGGCTGGCCCACCTCCCTCTGCCCCTGCGCCCATCCTTACCTCTGGTAGGGGCCTCTGGTAGGTCTGAGGACCCTGAGACCATAAGGGCTTCCGTCCAGCAAACCACAGATCCCAGAGGATGGCACTCACGGGCAGTCGGCCTCTGTCAGAAGCCATCTGTGACCTAACTGAGGTCTGCAGGGTTGGGGTAAAGTGGCAGGAACTGCCCCAGCCACAGGCCAGGGCGGTGAGCTCAGCAAAGATAAAGACTACCCGTCTGAGGTCTTTACTTTACCGATTTACTCAGCCTCTGGATTTTGCTGTTGTTGTTTTTTGAGACAGGGTTTCACTATGCAGGCCAGATGGCCTTGCCTGATCACAAAGGGATCCTCCTGCCTCAGCCTCACCAGTCCTGGGGTTACAAACCTGCTTCACCATACCTGGCTTTCACTTGGCCTTTGAAAGCTTTAACACCAGTCTCTCTGATCAGCACACTCTCCTCCCTGCTCATGCCATGTGCAAAAACAAAACAAGCCCCAATCATCAAGCCTAGCAGTAGGGGTGCAGGAGAGCTCCCAGCCAACCCATAATCACTGAAGGTTAGCTTTCCTGGGCACACCCTGCTGGCTGGGATTTGAGAAGACCCTGCAGACAGTGAAGAGGAGATGGTCCATCCCACCGGAGGCCCTGTCCCTGCTGGGGAAGGCAGAAGAGCTAGGGCCCAGTTGTGGGCACAGACTTGGGGGTCACCTGCAACTGTGGACACACCTCGGCCTCCCCCCTCTACCCACAGCTGAGGCCCAGCTCACTTCTGGCTGCTGGTAACCTGTTGAGGGCCGGGCACTGCTGGCAGGGAGCCAAACACCCAGCCCACTCTGCAGCCCAGTGCTGCTGCTGCTGGGGCCCCAACCTGAGCTCACCCCAATACTAAGAATCCCTGAGCTCAGGGGCCCCCATCGGCCTCCCCACATCCTGCTGCCCCAAGGCTGGGGCCACCTCCCACAAGCCCCACCCCACCCAATATTCCTGCCACCCCCACCCCAGCACCCACCTAACATAGCACAGCGGCTTCTCCCCAAATCTCTCTGCCATCAGCCTCACCCTCATTCACCTATCATCTACTTGGTCACCACAGGCAGGTCCCAAAATCCCAATCACAGACACGAAAAATGCAACTGTAGGATCCCAGCAGATACTCAGATGAAAAGGTGGTTTAAGAAGCTAAATTCAAGCCAGGCGTGGTGGCTCACGCCTGTAATCCCAGCACTAGGGAGGCTGAGGCAGGAGGGCCCTTGCAAGTTCGAGACTAGCCTGGGCTACAAAGTGAGCTCGAGGCCAGCCTGAACTGCATAGAGAGACCCTGCCTCAAAACACAAAAAGAAGAAAAAAGAAAAAAGAAAAAGCAGTTCTAGTAAGGAGCCCACCTCTGCCACTTGCTGTGGGGAAATAGCAGCCCCAACACAGAGCTGCTTTGTGATCCTGGCGCCAGATCCAACCAAGTGGAAGAGCACAGCAGGAACCTGCGCATTACTGTTGGGGGCCAGATTATGAACTGGATTTAGGGGCCGTCCAAAGCCACGCTCCTCCTGTCCTTGGGCCCCAGATGGAAGCTGCCCTGGGGCCGGTGATGCTCGGCCCCCGCAGGGTGAGGAAAACCCTGCTGGAGGAGGGTAAGGCCCCTGGGGAACTGCAGATTCCTCTGCCACCCCTCCTCGCTGTCTGCAGGAAGCTAGTTCTCAAAAAGACAAAAATAAAATAAAAAGAGAATCTGCTACAAATTTACTCGATAATGACTAACAAGAGAGAGGGTGTTGGGGCTGGGGATTTAGCTCAGCGGCATAAGTGCCTGCCTTGCAAGCAGGCGGCCCTGAGTTCGATCCCCAGTACCGATAAAAAAAGAAAAAAAAAAAAAAAAACAATGGAAGAGAGAGGGTGTCAGAATCAAGAACTTGTTCCTTCCCTTTGGTCTTGTTTTTTGAGCCAGGGGCTCTCTATGAAGTACTTGAGACCCCAGACTGACCTAAAACTCAGGAGATCCTCCTGCCTCTGCCTCCCTCATAGGATTACAGGCTTACTTTACTAGGCCCAGCTTCCCTTTCTTATCCTTAAAAAAAGAACCAGATAGGTCCAGGGATTTAGCTCAGTGGTATAAGCGCCTGCCTGGCAGGCGTGAAATTGTAAGTTTGATCCCCAGTACCAAAAAAAAAAAAACAACAACAAAAAGAACTAGAAAATTCAAGCACTTGGGGCCAGCATGGGCTACCCAGCAAGTTTAAGGCCAGCCTAAACTACAGCGAGACTGAGATAGCTCGGACCCCAGAATAAAATCCAAGGAAGCAAGAAATTTGGGAGCAAAGGCTTTACTTTAGGCCTGGCGACGCAGCCTCCTCAGGATGAACCCAGAGACTGGGCACTTGACAGACTAAGGGAGGGATATTTAAGGCTAAAAACCGCAAAGCTGTAAAGCTGTTGACTTAGTTCTGATAACATCTGGAGCTCTTGGTGCATTCCGGTTACTCCCACCCTGCGGTTTAACATTATCTCAGAACAGCACACCTGCAATAACATGCGGAAAGGGGGTAGGGGAGTTACAAGCAGCTGAAACTTAAGTTTTTACAAGAAATAGACACTTAACCCTATCGAGACGACACATACAGAACAAGATGCAGGCACATTGGTTAGAGTTAGACCATAACATTCCCCTCTGATGTTGTGGCTGAAGCCAAATTTTTGGCCGAATGTTAGGGATTTTGAGGAATGAGCTCACAGGCTTGCTGGCAGATCATCATCAGCTTTATGTTCTGCATTTGTTGTCTAATATAAGCAGTTAGTTTACTGATTATACAAGGACCTACTGAAATCATGAGTAGCAACTCTAGCAATGGTCCAAGCAAGGGTAGAAGATAAGGCAGAATTCCATTCCAGACACTCCCAAAGGGGTTTTCAAACAACTCTCTTCTTCTTTTTACTAGATCTTCCTGCAATGTCCTGATTTTATCTCGAACAATGCCGGACTTGTTTACATAAAAACAGCATCATTCTTGCAATGCCGCACAGATCCCTCCTTGCGTCAGGAGGTCTAGCCCTCTTCTATTTTGAAGAACTACTTCAGCTAATGAATCTATTTGATCTTGAATGACCTGAATGGTACTAGGTAATGCCTGCACATCATTAACGATCTGGTTGGAAAGCTGAACAGAGACCCCCATTCCTGCTGCCCCCATACCCAGGGCTCCTGACATTCCCAGACCTACCAATAAAGGAATAAATTGAACTGCCCTCTTTGAGCGGCCTGTAATGTAATCCAGGCTAGGAATGGGGACAGGCTCATCCCCAGGTAGAATCTCTATATCAGGCAGCAAGACAGCTGTAACACATATTCCTGACCAGTTAGTTGGGAGGAAAGTATAGGCCAGATTGCCTCCACAGATGAACACTTGTCCTTCGGCAGGACAAAGAGAGGTAGTCTGGTTAATTATAGAACTACAGTTAACAAAAGCAACGAAACCCACATCAACATCAGAAGTATCGTTATGAAAACTCCCTTGGAGACATGGGGAATCTCTAAACCCTACTGGTTGTACTCTGAAGGGGAGACCAGCACTACAATTTAAGTGACCTGGTCTCTTCAGTGGTGTCAGGGTAGCATTGGAGGGGATCGCAAGAGGTATGGGAGAGCCTTGTGCCATGCAAAGCCAACAATCTTTAGCTAAAGTCGGGTTGGAAGCATTTAAGGCCCTATAAGTGGCTCCTAGAATATCACAAGTCTGGGGGCTGGGGATTTAGCTCAGTGGCATAAGCGCCTGCCTTGCAAGCAGGCAGTCGTGAGTTCGATCCCCGGTACCGGTAAAAAGGAAAAAGACAAAAAAAAAAAAAAAAAAAAAAAAAAAAGAATATCAGAAGTCTGAACATCCAAAGAAGCAATTCCCCGTGATTTAGGCAGCATGGAGGGGTGGTTATGCACCTGGGGAAACATTTTCTCTATAATTTGTTTAACCTGTTCTTCGGGCCACCCTGCTCCAGAACACTGGTTTACCAATCATGCTGCTACATGAGGCTTGGACATACTTTGAATTTCCTATTACCATTGGATTGACAGACCAGTCCCCCCCAGCACTTCCAACCTGTATCCTCAGAAGCTTAGCAGTGAAGTAAGTTTTGCTATCTTTGCCTATATATTCTTGCACAGAGTCATAGCAGGAGGAATGCATTTCTGAATAATAAGGACAATCTTTAGGGCAGGGCCCGGCTGGCCGCCTATTTTAGGTATCACAGGAGGTTTTTCTTTGCACTCCCAACTTTGAGTTACTCCTGTAGCAGCAGGCCTAGCTACAAGAATTGCTATCTTGTTTTCTACAATCTGTGTGACTGGTCTGTCCAATTCACCCCCCACCAGGACTACCCCGAAAAGAACCTCCTCTGCAATCACAAGGATTTCCATATAGAGATTTTTTTTTTTTATTTGTTTGGGTTTTTTGTCTTTTTCGTTTTTATCGGTACCAGGGATCAAACTCACGACTGCCTGCTTACAAGGCAGGCGCTTATACCGCTGAGCTAAATCCCCAGCCCCTCCATATAGAGATTTTAACAGCTGTTCTCGGCTTACAGGGGGTCCAAACCCACTATGTGAGGTGTTGTAACAGAGCCATGAAAATTCCCAGCAGTGGAATAGAAGGGGCAAAGGCAAGCAAGCTAAAGCAGTACCTGTCTGATGCAATCTATGTCTAGGCAATTTTAACTTTAAGGGGTTACCAGTCTGCCGTCCATTGGGTGTGGTCCTCATCATCCGCAGTTTCTCCCAATGATGACGCTGCATCAAGACTGAAGTTCCTGGTTCGATGGGAGTCTTTAGTGGGGTTTCCAAAAGTGGGTCTGGGTGCTTCTGTCTAAACAGCTGGTGGATGGAGACCAGCACAGGCTGGAGCACCTGGAGGGACTGAATGAGATCTTGGTTAGTTATTTCAACTAATTTGTCCTCAGAGAGCTTCAGGACCAGTGGAGGGGGGTCTCCCAAACATAGCTTCAAATGGGGAAACTCCAGAAACACAAGGAGTACATCTAGCTCTCAGCAGAGCAAAGGGAAGAAGCTCACCCAATTATTGCCAGTTTCTAAAGACAGCTTAGCTAAAGTGTCCTTGAGAGTTCGGTTCATATGTTCTACTTGTCCTGAACTTTGTGGTCAGTAGACACAGTGAAGTTTCCAATCACTTCTTAATACCTGGGCTAACTTTTGGGTGACTTGGGCTATGTAAGTCGGGCCATTATTGGACCCCATGGATAGTGGAAGGCCAAACTGAGGTATGATCTCTTGCAATAGTTTTCTAGTTACCACTAAAGCTGACTCGAACTTAGTAGGGAAAGCCTCTATCCAGCCAGTAAAAGTATCTATTAATACCAAGAGATAGCAATATGCCTGTAAACTAGACTTTACCATGTCTGTGAAGTCTACTTCCCAGTGTTCTCCTGGGGCAGTACCTCGATACTGGGTGGTCTCCAATGGCGAGCTTCTGGTCAGATTTATCAATAGACATTGTGGGCATCTGGAGCTCAAAGAGGCAGTGAATTTGGAGAGTCTTGGAATGAAAAACCGAGTTCTGAACAATTCAGCAAGTTTGGTCATCCCTAAATGGGTGGTTTGCTGAGCCTGGTGTAGCAGCTCACATCCTAGTGCCTTTGGCACTCGCTTAGCTGGTAATTAGTACCAACCCCTGGGACGAGGAGCTGTGCTCCAAGTTGAGATGCTAACTGTAGGTCTTTCTTTGTATAAACTGGATTTGATAAGGTGGGAGGAACCAGCATTAGAGCAGTCCCATTATCATCTGGCACCTCTGATGTGGTTGCTCTGTTTTGAGCAGTTTGATCTGCTAAATTTCCTAGAATGATGGGGTCGTCCACTGTTTGATGAGCTTTGCAATGAATAATAGCAACCCACTGAGGTAGCCAGACAGCTGCCAACAAGTCTAGAATCTGTGGAGTATTTTTTATCTTAGTCCCCACTGAGGTTAAGAGACCTCGTTCCTGATAAATAGCTCCATGAACATGTACAGTAGCAAAAGCATATCTACTGTCGGTATAGATACTTACCCTCTTCCCGATGGCTAACTTTAATGCTTTGGTCAAAGCAATGAGCTCAGCCTTTTAGGCTGAGGTGCCAGGCTCTAACCACTTAACCCAGAGTACCTCTTTTTCGGTGGTCACTGCCACTCTGGCCACTCGTTTACCATCCTAGATGAAACTGCTCCTGTCGGTGAAGTAGTTACCAGCATTCTCTAAGGGCTGGTTGGTAAGATCGGCCCATAGATTCTGTTGCGTTCCGAGGAGGTCTGCACACTCATGGAGAGGCAGATTTTGAGTTCCAGAGTCGTCATCAGGCATAAGGGTGGCTGGGTTTAAGGCTGAGGAAGTCAAAAACCACCAACTCTGGGTCTAGGAATAGAGCCTGATAATGCAGAATTCTAGCATTCGAGAACCACTTCTCAGGAGGGGTCTTGATAAGAGTTTCTAAACTGTGGGAGGTCACCACAGAAATCTTTTGTCCAAAAGTGAGTTTCTTAGCCTCCTTAAGTAACATTGCCATAGCAGCCAGTATTCTTAAGCAAGGGGACCACCCCCCTGCCACTGGATCCAGTCTTTTAGAGAGGTAGGCTATAGGTCTCTTCCAGGGGCCAATGTCCTGAGTTAGGACTCCTTTGGTAATGCCCCTGGGTTCATCTACAAACAAGGTGAATGGCTTGGTAACGTCAGGGAGTCCCAGGGCTGGAGCCTCTGTTAGGGCCTATTTGAGCTGCTGGAAGGCCTGTTCACATTCATCTGTCCAGTCCAAAGATTTTTGAGTTTCTCCCTTAAGGGAGTCATACGGGGGCGTGCTATCTCAGTAAAATTTAGAATCCACAGCCTACAGTATCCTACAGCCCTCAGAAACTCCTGTACTTGTTTTTTAGTTTCTGGGATAGGAATCTATAATATGGCCTGGATGCTTTCTTTAGATAGAGTTCTCTTTCCTCCCTGTAACTCATAGCCCAAATAAGTCACAGTTTGGTGACACAATTGGGTCTTTTTGGCTGAAACCTTGTAGCCTAATTATCCCAAGGTTTTTAATAGCTCCCCTGTGGCCTCTGGACAGGACTCCAAAGTGGGTGAGGCTACCAGCAGATCGTCCACATATTGTAAAAGTGTCACCTTGGGGTGTTCCTCACGAAACCCCAAGAGGTCTCTGGCCAGGGCCTCGTCAAAAAAAGTGGGCGAGTTTTTAAAGCCCTGTGGCAACCGAGTCCAGGTCAGTTGTTCTAAGACCCTAGAATCTGGGTCAGTCCATTCAAAGGCAAAAATGGGTTGACTCGCCAGGGTGAGAGGTAGAGTGAAGAAGGCATCCTTGAAGTCCAATACGGAGTACCAGGTGCACTCTGGGTTGAGGAGGCTGAGTAAAGTGTAGGGGTTAGGCACAGTTGGATGTAAAGTCAATACCCGCCTGTTGGCCTCCCGGAGATCTTGTACAGGATGACAGTCAGTTGTCCCCGGTTTCTGAACTGGAAGCAGGGGCATGTTCCAAGGGGAGACACAAGGAATGAGGATATCATTGTCTCTTAGTCTCTGTATATGAACTTTAATTCCCTTTCGGGCTTAGAGACTTAATGGATATTGATGCAAACAAATAGGACGTGCCTGGGGTAGGAGCTCTACCACAAGGGGCACTTGGTTTACCACTAATCCTGGGGGGTTAGTTTCAGCCCAGACCTCTGGGATCCCCTGTCTTCATTTGTGGGGGATGAGGTGTCACTTTGTAGGCCCAACCCCCTCTAACCTGCAATTTACAATAGCCGCCCTGGTATGCGAGAAGGAGGTAGAATAGGAATGCCTGTTCTCAGTGAGCCCCTCACCCTCTGGAATCCATACTGTGAGCTGGCTTTGTTTTGCAGAAGTCTTGAGGAAGTGGCTGGCCACCCTTTGTGACACTAACAGCAGACAAATTAACAACATTCTTGAGCTAATGAATTTCTTCCTGGGCTAGAGAAGTTATGAAAACTGGTTGTGATTATTTACTTCACTTAGATAGCTTTAGAATAAACATTGTAGTCTGTCACGTTGTAGCTTGCCACAAAGAATGCCTTTTCACTACTTAATTATCTGGGCTCTGTGAACTGATCGGGTTTACTATATATGAATCCTAAAATAAAGATTGTGCGTGCAGTGCAGTGTAACGCGGTGCAGACAGTAAAGGTGTCTCTCCTGTCTTTCTTTTCCGAGCACTGTACCCCCCGTGTCCCGATCAGGCGTGTGTGCGTGTTTACCTTGCCCGGAGTTCAGAGTGCTCTAAGACACTCACGACAAGTGGCGCCCGAATTCAGGGACTCCGAAGGTCGCTTAGGAAGGTAAGTATAATTTTATTACGGGGAAATGGGACAATCTGCTTCTTCTCCTTTCTTAAAAATTCTTAAACATTTATTATCTATATATGGCATATCGCTCAGGTCAGCTGACTTGGATATGTGTATTGATACAATTAAAGAATATAATCCTTGGTTTCCAGATGAAGGAACTTTGGATGTAGAAGTATGGAGGAAGGCAAGGGTTAGTATAGAAAGGGCTATGCAACAGGAGGAGAAGATTCCTTTACGTTTTTGGGCTATTTGGTCGGTTGTGTACTCTTTATTAAAAGCTATGGAAGATGAACATATTGTAGAAAATCTTCAACTAGAAATTAAGCCAGTTATTCAGGAATTGCCCCTCACAGAGGAGGAGCAGAATGTAGTTCAAAATGACGCTATCGCTTTAAGTAGTGAAAAGGCGTCCAAACTAAAAGTAAAATCCGCTACAGCCGACTCAGCTTTAGCTGCCGCAGCAATATCAAATTATGACAATCGCCCAATTTTACAGGCTATACAGCATTTAACACAAGAGGTGAAACAACTCTCCGTTAAGCAGAACCCGCCTGTAGTTCCCTCTGCACCTCCTCCATCTAACCCTAATTGGAGTAAAGCCAAGCTAGCTTTGGCTGATTTACCAAAATTAGGGGATTCTGATGAGGAAAAACCTACCTTTGCTTTCCCTGTAATCAGGCCACAGCCAATAGATGGAGAGGCAGTTCCCCCTAGATGGGAAGCATTTAATATGGATGATTTAGCAAAATTAAAAAAGGCTGTAACCCTTTATGGCCCTCAGGCTCATTACACTAGAGAATTAATAACATCGGTAGCAGATCAGTATGGTAATCTTGCTCCTTATGATTGGAAAGCCTTGGCCAAAATTCTTTTAAAAGAGCCAGAATATTTACAGTGGCACATGTGGTTTATGGAAGGTTGTGCGAAAAAGGCAAGACAAAAATGCTGATATAGTGATAGAAATGTTTTAAAAGATATTTTAAAAACTTTACCTCAATATTTTTCTCCGTTTGGACTTGTAATAGCACAGGATAAAATTCAAAAGGAAGAAGTTAGTCATTATTTGGGATATATTCTTACTAGACAAAAGGTGATTCCACAAAAAATGTCTATTAGGAGAGATAAGTTATCCACTTTAAATGATTTTCAAAAATTATTAGGGGATATTAATTGGCTTCGTCCCACACTAGGTATCCCTACCCATGCATTGCAACATTTGTTTGCTACTCTACAGGGCTCTTCAGATCCATCCAGCCCTCGTTCTTTAACAGCAAAAGCAGAGCAAGAATTACAGTTTGTAGAACAACGAATTAAGGATGCATTTTTAATTAGGATTGATCCTAAATTGCCTCTAACTTTATATATTATTAATACTTTTCATTATCCCTCTGCAGTTTTAGGTCAGAATGCTATGCCAGTAGAATGGGTATTCACTAAAACTAAGCAATCTAAAAATGTTATGCCTTATATTGACATGGTTGCAGCTTTAATTATGAATGGTAGAGCTCGTTCTATAACTTTGATAGGAGAAGATATAAACAATATAGTTATCCCTTTAACTAAGGAACAATGGGAATATTTGTTGTCAATTACTGAAACCTTACAAATTGCTTTAGCAGATTTCATGGGAACTTTTTCATATCATTTTCCTAAAAGTAAATTATGGGATTTTTTTAGACGTCAACAATTTGTGGTTAATACCTTATTAGCTGTACAGCCAATTCCACAAGCTTTGACTATATTTACAGATGGATCTAAAAATAAAGCTGCATATTGGACTCAAAAATCTTACTGGGTACGTCAGACAAATTCTAACTCTGTACAACAAAATGAACTTTTTGCTATATTACAAGTGTTTTTAGATTTTCATAACCAACCTATTAATATTATAGCCGATTCGGCCTATTCTGTTGGAGTAGTGACAAATATCTATTCAGCTGTGTTATATTCTAATAAGCCTGCTTTATTGTCTTTATTTCAAAATTTACAAATACATGTTCAAAAAAGAAATCATTCTTATTTTATTACTCATTTACGTTCTCATTCTCAGTTACCCGGACCATTAGTATCAGGTAACAATGCAGTGGATTCCTTAGTTATGTTCACTACACCCGTTGAAGAACATCAATTTAATCATGCGAATGCAGGACATTTGCATCTTAAATATAAGATACCTTTTACAAAAGCTAAACAAATTGTAAAAGCCTGCCCTATTTGTAGACCATTACATTTAAGAATTATTCCCACAGGTGTCAACCCTCGAGGAACTCAACCTAATGAGTTATGGCAAATGGATATTACACATGTACCTTCTTTTGGTCGGCTTTCTTATGTACATGTAGTTATTGATACATATTCTTCATTTCTATGGGCTACTGCTCAACAGGGAGAATCCACTAAAAATGTTATTGTACATTTATTGGAGACTTTTGCAGTTATGGGAATTCCTTCTAAAATCAAAACAGATAATGGACCTGCTTATACTAGCAGAACATTTAAACAATTTTGTGATCTCCATAATATTATTCATATTACAGGGATTGAATATAACCCCCAGGGTCAAGCTATTGTTGAAAGAGCACATGGCACTCTTAAGTTGCAAATTAAAAAATTAAAAAGGAGGAGTCAGGAGGATATTCAGATACCAATACTGTTTAAATTGCAAAACAGTCCAAAAACATTACTGCATCAAGCATTGTTTATTTTAAATTTTCTCAATTTACCACAAGGTGAAATATTAACAAGAGCTGAAAGACATTTCGAACAGCAACAACAGCCCTTTGTGATTAATGAACCTATTTGGACTAAAACAGCTCCAGAGGCTGAATGGGAGAAGGGCACACTGCTCTATAAGGGGAAAGGTTTTGGTTATATCTCCACAGAAAATGGAATTCAGCAGTGGGTCCCTGGACGATGGATCAGGATCCGCGCCTCCAGACCCTGTTCGCCAGCCCCGGAGACAACTCCCCAAGGAACCGGAACCGTGCCTTCAGAAGCGAGCCCGAAACCAGCTAGAGGCTGAAGATGCTGAGCTTGTTCCTATCGCAGCCATGGCCAGATTACAGCTAAGAAAATCCCGCCGCTCACAGCGACCAAATTTAAATCCCCTCCCTACATGGGGACAATTAAAGAAATTGACCATAGAAGGGCAACGGCTTGTCCTTCAAGCAGGAAAGCCTTTAAACCCTGAAAACTTGTTTTTAGCTTTATGTGCCTTGCTCACTGTTGCGTCGGGGACTGAGGTACCTCCACATTCGTACTGGGCATATATTCCTAATCCCCCTTTATTAGAACCTGTAAAATGGGGAACTAGTGATATTTTACTTTATACCACACCTAGAGAAATTTTGTCAGCACCGTGGGCTGATTTAACCCCCCACAATCAAGATGATGGGACATTATTCAATTTTACTTATTATGGTAATCAAAGGCCTATTTGCATTGGGGAACCGCCTTGCATCCCTCTGGGATGGCAGTATTGGATTCAACATGGAATAAAAGCAGGCAACAAAAGAACAAGGCTTCAAGCCTTGGCTGCTCAAACCTTTAATGTTACCTGGAGAAATTTAACAGCACCTGATACAAATACATTTCCTGTATGCCCTGAATTCACTTATAAAAATATTTCTTATTATCCCATAATTTGGCAACTATGTATGGGAAAATTTGCTAAAAATATTGATGGGTATATTATTTGGGGACCATTTGGAAAATTCGTTAATGGATGTGCTGAATGGAATGAGACAAGATGTAATCTCTCTGTTGTGTATAGTCTTCCAGATCCAAAGAAAATAACTGATGGAGCTCCTATATTTCATCAGAAGACGGCTCTTTTGTGGTGGGGAGATGGTGGAATCGCTAACCCTGCTGTTGCAGCCGAAGAATACCCTCATCACCTTCAAAATCATATTTGGAAGATTCCAGCCGCTATGCAACCTGTAACCTTGTACAATGTTTCCTATTCAGGGACTAGTCGATCTGTATCTACTACTTATAATTTTACTAGGTTTAAAATGTATAATATTACTGTTTGTGCACCTCTGCCTTATGTCTTTTTAGTGGGAACTTTTAATTTTACACATTTTTCTTGTACTTGTTTAAATTGTCAATTGTTTACATGCTTAAATAGCACACTAAATTTCACTAAGCCTTATACAGTTATGCTGTTACAACAAAAAACTCATATTTGGTTGCCTGTAAATTTAACTCGACCATGGTCTCAAGACCCGGTAATTTCTGTTACTACTGAATTTTTTAAACATCTGTTAAAACGTACAAAAAGATTTATTGGAATAGTGGTTGCTGTACTGTTAAGTCTGATAACTGTAGCCTCCCTAGCAGCAGTCTCAGGAATAGCTTTACAAACCTCTTTGCAAGAAAAACATGTTGTAGAATTATGGCATGAAAATTCTCATGAACTTTGGTTAACTCAGTGGCAAATAAACGCCAAACTACAACAACAAATAGACCTCCTTAAACAAACAGTTGAATGGATGGGTAGAAAAATATTGGCTCTTCAGCATCAAGTGTTTTTAAAATGTGATTGGAATTCAACTACTTTCTGTATAACCCAACGACCTTATAATCAAACAGAACATGAATGGGAAATGATTAGAATGTATCTAAATGGAAACACCTCTGCCCAGGAGGAAATAGAATCTTTGCATAATCAAATTGACAAGGATTTTGCAAAGCAAAATGATGATGAATCCCTAGCACAATTCGCGCAATTGCTTGCTCAATCTTTGAAAGGATTAGATTCCAAAGGAATCTGGCAGAGCATAACCCACACTTTTAGTGGCATGGGACTTAGTTTAATTATAGTTCTCATTGCCATAGTTCTTGTGTATTTTTACTGCATAAGACGAAATACTATTAATAACCTGATCTTATGGAAATTGTTGTTAAAAAATAAAAAGGAAGGAAGTGTGGGGGATGAGGTGTCACTTTGTAGGCCCAACCCCCTCTAACCTGCAATTTACAATAGCCGCCCTGGTATGCGAGAAGGAGGTAGAATAGGAATGCCTGTTCTCAGTGAGCCCCTCACCCTCTGGAATCCATACTGTGAGCTGGCTTTGTTTTGCAGAAGTCTTGAGGAAGTGGCTGGCCACCCTTTGTGACACTAACAGCAGACAAATTAACAACATTCTTGAGCTAATGAATTTCTTCCTGGGCTAGAGAAGTTATGAAAACTGGTTGTGATTATTTACTTCACTTAGATAGCTTTAGAATAAACATTGTAGTCTGTCACGTTGTAGCTTGCCACAAAGAATGCCTTTTCACTACTTAATTATCTGGGCTCTGTGAACTGATCGGGTTTACTATATATGAATCCTAAAATAAAGATTGTGCGTGCAGTGCAGTGTAACGCGGTGCAGACAGTAAAGGTGTCTCTCCTGTCTTTCTTTTCCGAGCACTGTACCCCCCGTGTCCCGATCAGGCGTGTGTGCGTGTTTACCTTGCCCGGAGTTCAGAGTGCTCTAAGACACTCACGACATTCATTTGTTTAATAATTCTAGCTCTAAGTCCGTAGGTGGTGGCTTAGTGAATTGGACAAATTTTCCAGCAGATGGTAATTTTCTCCTTCTGGGACAAGGGCTAAAACTCTAACGCTCTTTTCAGGACCTTGGGTTGAGCCATTTGCCAAGAAATCAATTTGCACTTGCAATTTATGAAGGAGGTCTCATCCTAGGAGGGGGTCGACACTCCGGTACCCATAGAAAATCATGCTGGACCAACTTGTGGCCCAGTCGAGCTAAACTGGCGGTTACCTTTGAGTATGCTCTTCATCCCTCTGTGGTTCCTATTACATTAATGGAGTCTTTGGTCAATTTTCCCAAGGGTTGGGTGAGTACAGAATAGGTGGCTCCTGTATCTACCAGAAAGTCCACTGGGTGCCCCCCCACTTGAAGAGTTATCCGGGACTCAGGGACTCGGGAGGCGACCTCCTCATTGTTGAGACAGTAAGGCCTTTGCTTCTCTCTCCAATTTGGCCTTTAATTTTGGGCAATCCTTTCGTCAGTGTCCCATCTCTTTGCAATGTGCACATTGTTCCTTATCTAAAGGAGGTCCTTGTCCCTGGGCTTCCTTTTTATTGGTACTGGCCAGCTTTTTAGTTTCTCTTTCACAGAGTAATTCTAACACTTTGGACATTTTCTTGTTGGTGGCTTCTTATAAATTTTCTCTATTTTCAAAGACCTTCTGTGCTATTTCTATTAACTGGCTGAGGGGCATTTCCTCAAATCCCTCAAGCTTTTGTAATTTTCTTCTAACATTGGGGGCCAACTGGGACACGAAGGCAATATTAATTGCTCATGCATTCTCAGGAGCCATCGGATTAATTGGGGTATGTAACCTATATGTCTCTAAGAGGCGCTCTAAGAACATAGCAGGAGATTCATCAGCCAACTGTCTTACCTCAGTCACTTGGGACAAATGGGTGGGCTTGTTGGCAGCATGGAGCACGTCTAGAAGCTGCAGGCGATAATCATCAAGAGCCCTCTTACTTCTGTCTGTATTGGGGTCCCAATTAGGTCGTGAGGAAGGAAACAGGGCTTGATCCTCTGCCGATCAGTGAACGTAGACCCGTCCGAGTCTTGGACTCCTTTTTTCCCCCGAGAGTGCAGGTGCACAGTCTCTCTTCAGCCGTAAAAAGGATGTGCAGGATCTGTTGACAATCGTTCCAGGTGGGGCGAAGAGTAGAGAATACAGATTCTAAAAGATTAATCAGAGTTTCAGGATCCTTTGAAAAAGGAGAGTTCTGGATTTTCCAATTATAAAGGTCTGAAAATGAGAAAGGAGTATACACAAACACTGAACCCCTGCTCGGAGCGAGAACCTCCCATAATGGACAAAGTGGAGCCACCTCAGAGCCCTGCTCTGAAGACGCCTCGGGTGGCAGGTGTCGGCAGGTGCGAATGGGACTAGGCAGCGGAGACGGGACAGTGGAATCTGATTGGTGGTCAGAGATGGGATACGGGGGAGGCAGCGGGAGTGCCTCCAGCGGGTCAAGGGGGTCTTCTTCAGAGGGCAGGACCGGAGCCACGGTAGGTTCAGAAGGCAGCTTCTCAGGTTTTACTTTCGGTTTGAGGGCCGCAATGACTCTGTCACGAGAGGGCTTAATCTAGGAAAGGGCAGCATAAATTATGTCTATCCAGATCTGAATATAGACAATTTGATCAGGGTGAGCAGGAGGCCCAAAAACATACTGGCGAACAGCTTGTGCTGTCTCCATGTTAAAAGACCCAGAGGGGGGCCAGACCCCCTGAGTCCCTAGTGGCCATTCCTGTGTGACTGGCTTTATCACCCTTTTCCCCATATCCCTCAGGAGTGATCAAGCACAAAGCTAAGGGGCGTGCTGGATTTAGATTCAGTTTGCCCATGGCCGGCAAAGATGTCAGTTCTTCTCTCCTGTGGGAGAATCTAAGAGACAGAGATAAGATTAGGAGGAAGAGACAGAACAACAATGAGATGAAAATAATGGTCAATATCCTTTTTGTCCATTTTGGGCTCATAGAAGGGGTTCCTAGGAGAAAATGTTCTGTTAGATTTGGGTAACCAAAAGGAGAACAGTTAGACCAAATAGACATACAGACAGACATACAAGATAAGACAAGCTGCAGCAAAAATGGCCTTTGCGGGGCTGGAGATTTAGCTCAGTGGCATAAGCGCCTGCCTTGCAAGCAGGCAGTCGTGAGTTCGATCCCCGGTACCGATAAAAAGGAAAAAGACAAAAAAAAAAGAGGTCCTTGCTCCCCAAATTAAGGGCGTCCCCTCCAAAAGTACAAACTGACCGTGGTCCAAACAAACGCTCCAAAGTACTTTTAGGTGTTCAGAATTGAGTCGGGGATCTTGCTTCCATCCTGGATGGGCCCCCAAATGAGATAGCTCGGGCTAATCCAAGGAAGCAAGAAATTTGGGAACAAAAGCTTTATTTCAGGCCTGGTGACGCAGCCTCCTCACAATCGATCCAGAGACTGCGTGCCTAACAGACTAAGGGAGGGATATTTAAAGCTAAAAAACCTGCAAAGCTGTAAAGCTGTTGACTTAGTTCTAATAACATCTGGAGCTCTTGGTGCATTCCACTACTCCCACCCTGCGGTTTAACATTATCTCAGAACAGCATACCTGCAATAGCATGCGGAAAGTGGGTAGGGGAGTTACAAGAAGCTGAAACTTAAGTTTTTACAAGAAATAGAAACTTAACCCTATCAAGATAGCACATACAGAACAAGCTGGAGGCGCATTGGTGAGAGTTAGGCCATAACAAGACCTGATGTCAAGAAAGCAAAAAAGGAAGGAAGGAAGGAAGGAAGGAAAGAAAGAAAGAAAAAGAACAAATGAACTAGTTTCTGGGTCATCAATATCACAGAATAAAGATGCAGAATCACTGTGGCTTTAAGCCTGGCCCTCGCCACCCTCCTACCTCTGGGTCTTTAGCAAGGAATCCTGAGTCCTGACCCTTGGGCAGCCTGTTTGTCAATACCCATGAGCAGCAGCAACTCAGCACTCCAACTGGCCAGGAAACCCATGTCCTTGCTCACGATCTCCCCTTCCCCTGAATGCCCAGTCCATCTCCGGGGGCAAACACTTGTGAGGACAAACCCAGTGTCCACTCCTTTACCTCACACAGCTGTTCCAATAAGCAGAATTCCTGAGTGAATGTGTGAGCACATGCTATGCATCCTCCTGAGCACCTGGCTTTCTGCTTGTTTAGTCTGTTTTTTGAGACAGGGTCTCAAAGCCTAGGTTGACCTGAAACTCAGAGATCCTCCTGCCTCAGCCTCCAGAGTGCTAGGGTTACAGGCATGTGCCACCACACTTGGTGAGGTCCTGGTTTGGTTTTGTTTTGTTTTGTTTTGTCTTTTTCCTTTTTATCGGTACCGGGGATCGAACTCACGACCCCTGCTTATGCCACTGAGCTAAATCCCCAGCCCCGAGGTCCTGGTTTTTAAACAAAATGCTCAAATGATCATAGTTTTGGGCCCTTTAGAATAAGGTCCAAAGTAGTGGGAACCCAGGTAGGGGATAAGGGGTATAGCCTAATGAAGGACGCTAATTACAGCTCACCAAGGTTCATCTGCAGGGGCTTGGGAGGAGAGGGCGGTGACAGTCACATGTGGAAAGTCAGCCACAACCAGAAAGCAAGACCAGCCAAGTCTCCATTACACTGATGTGCAGGGAGCCCTGAAAGCTGGAGATTGATCACATGTGTGGGCTAAAGCAAGGCCCGCCAGAAAACACAGAGAGCCCAAAATAAGCCAGGTAAACAGGCTGGTCCAGCTCCAAGGGAAGGGGCCCAGGCAGCCAGGCAGCCAAGCAGAGATCGACATTCTTCTTTGGAGGGTATGAAGAAGGATGCTATAGTGGCAGAGCAGTTCCTTTCCTCCCATCAGGAGGACAAAGGCTCCCCCTGACCCCAGCTCTGTCTCTTTATTTTCTCATTCTCTCACGTCCTCCCCACGGAACATCTAGACCTGCGGCCACTGATGGAAGAAAACGATGGTGCACCAAAAATTCTGACTGGCTAAGCGTGGTGGCAGACACCAGTAATCCCAGCACTGGAGGAGGACAGCTGCGAGCTCAAGGGAGCCCGGGTTAGATAAACACACACACACACCCCAAACCTGCCTGGTGGAGAATTCATAGATTGTTATCTTTAAGCCGTGGGACACATCTGCTTTCTGGGCTGCAAACCGAGCTCTGCCAGAGATACTAGGAAGGGGCAAGGGGTGCAGGAGGGAGCTGGCTCTTGCCCTGGGTGTCTGCCGCCACCCCCTGCCGCCATCCTTTTGAGACAGGGTCTCACTACGCAGTTCAGGCTGGCCTGGAGCTCATTTTGCAGCCCAGGCTGGTCTCCAGCTCACAACAATCCTCCTGCCTCGGACTTCCGAGTGCTGGGATTACAGGCGTGCGCCACCACGCTCGGATCTGGCCCGGGGTGTCTTCTGCCAAATTCTCATCTCTCTTTCCCAGTCACCATCAGTCCCTTCCTGAACCCGGGACGCCTCCCCAGTCCCTAGAGTATCCCCTCAGTCACCTCCGATGCACCAGTCACCAAGCACTCACCGCTGGCCTCTGCCGCGCCTGAGGGATCAGGTCCCAATTGCTCCAAAATCCTGTCTGCGCGGCGTATCCTTCTGCAGCTTTTCCTTTTGTCTCAGCTCCCGCGCTCAGAGGCGCTGCCCATTGGTCGCCGGGTTCCTCAACTGGCTCCCTAATTGGCTTCGCTTACGGGAAACCCCAACCAATGAGCTCTCCACGTTGGTCTCCCTCTTCCAATCCTGGAAGTCCATTGGTTCCCAGGGCTCAGACCTTGTCGCTTGCCGGGCCCCTTAGCAAAACCTTCCTTCCGGGTTTGCAAGTCTGCGCTGGGATTTTGGTTCCGAACCCAGCGAAACCGGGGCCCGGCGACGCCAGGTCACGTGACCGGCGGCTCCCATGACGTGCGGGCTGCGCAGCGTCGCAGCGATTTTCGGGCGACCTCCCGGGTGGCCAGGCTACCTCCGCCAGCTGTGCGGTGACGGTGCTGTCATGGATCTGGGACCCATGCGCAAGAGTTACCGTGGGGACCGCGAGGTGCGGCGGGGGCCCGGGTCACCTGCGAGGGCGGGGAGCCAGCGGCGGGGTCGCCCGGTGAAAGGATGGGGGTCAGGGGACATGGGTCGTTGGAGGGGCCCTGGGTGGGAATGCAGCCCTTGAGTAACAGTGTCACGAGTGCAGTGTGGAGCCTGCCTGAGCCAGGAGGATGCTGTGGACTTAGATATTTGAAAAGCAGTTTATAAACGTTTAATAAATAAGCAGCTGGGCCTGATGGTGCTCGCCTATCATCCCAGCAGTCGGGGAGGCTGAGGCAGGAGGATCACAAGTTTAACTCCAGTCTGTGTGGTGACATTATGAGACCTTGTCTCAAAATTTTAATTGTTTTGTTTTTTTGAGATAGGGTCTCATGATAGTAGGTCAAGCTGGCCTTGAGCTCACTACTTAACCCAGCTCGAACTCGCAGTAACTCTCCTGCCTCAGCCTCCCTGACTGCTGGGATGACAGGTGGGAGGCAGAACTTAAGCTCTCTTGATGGCTACTGCCTTCTGCTCAGCGCGGGGAGCTCTGTCCCCACCCTTAATGCCGAGACCCAGAGAACTTTTTGGACTTGGGAGTCCTGCCCGAACTGCTGTTACACAACTGGCTTGCACACAAGCATTTGCAGAGAAGCCTGTTTAAGCCGGTTACTGATTAAACTTTAGGCCTGCCTGGGGGTTTAGAGGGTAGAGCCCAGGTCTTTTATTTCTAGCTCCCTCTGTCCTCTATGTCTGATGCCCCAAATCCCCACCATCCCTTACTGCCTGTGTCACCCAGCATTTGGCCTTTTTATGCTTGTTTTGTCATCTGGAAAGTGGAACACAGGGACCTATTTTCTGGGTACTGCTTTTGTTAATTTATTTTTATTTATTTATTTTGAGACTAGATCTCACTGTGAAGTCCAGGCTGGTGTTGAACTCACAGTGATCCTCCTGCCTCAGTCTCCTGAATGCTGGCATTACAGGCACATGTCACCATAAGAATGGAATGGATTAATATTTGGAAAGTGTTTAGAGCCAGAAGTAGTGGCACTCAGGAGGCCACCCAGGCCTGTACGAGTTTAAAGCATCTCTGGACTATACAGCAAGACCCGGTCTCAAAAAACAAACAGAAAAAAGGGGCTTAAATCAGGGCCAGGTACATCAGGTGCACCTTGTATCTTCCTTAATGAATAAAACTCCCTCCCCAGGCATTTGAGGAGACTCAGCTGGCCTCACTGGACCCCATAAAGCAGTTCACTTCCTGGTTCGAGGAGGCTGTCCAATGTCCAGACATAGGGGAAGCCAACGCCATGTGTCTGGCTACCTGCACAAGGTAGGCACAGCCACAGCCCCGTGTGGCCAGGACAGAGGAAGTAAAAGCTTAGGCAGCTCATGCTCAGTTCAGTGGAGGCCAACCTTTTGATTCCAGCTGTGTTATTAAAATTCTGTGTGGAGGGGCCAGGGATTTAGCTCAGTGGTGTAAACGTTCGTCTGGCAAGCAGGAGGTCGTCAGTTCGATTCCTGGTACCAAAAATAAAATAAAATGCTGTGTGGCCTCAGACAAGTACCTTGTCTTCTCTGTGCCTCAATCACCTCAGCCCTAGACCAGAGAGCAGCCCACTAAATCCCACTTCAGTGATAAAATGCAGTGATTTCCTTGTGCATCTCTGTTCTCTTGTTTTTTGAGACAAGGTCGAAGCTCACTGGGTAGTCCAGGCTGGCCTTGCACCCTCTTGCCTCAGCCTCCTGTGTACTGGGATCACAGACGGGCACCACCACCCCTGTCCTTGATGCGTGGAACCCCTTGCCTGCTTTGTCTGTCTGTGCGCCCCAGTCTGTCATCCCCGCACACAGGGAGACTGAGACAGAAAGTTTGCAAGTCTGAAGTCGGTCTGGGTAATTTCAGAGCTTAGCAAAACCCTATCTCAAGATAAAAATATAAAAGGATACCCCCCCAAACTTCATCTCCGGGGACTGCTCCATGACTGAAGCTCAGTCCCTCTCAACACCAAGCACAGTACCCAGCCATCACCACAGTACCCTGCCATGTGCCCCCCAAGACATCATTCATGTCAGCCTCTCATTTTGCTCTTCTTCTCCATCCACTAAAGCGCGAGGCCTTGAACTCGGGACTCCTGCATAGCCCCTGGGGCTCCCCGAGATGTGGCCGGAGGACTGACCCCAGAGCCTGGCTGCACTAATGCTGGCCCCTGTCCTTGCCTTTTGAGTTTGCTGTGGCTGCCATAACAAAATTCCCTCCCAGGGCCACTTACGTAAAAGGGTTTGTTTCTGAGTTCTGAATAGATTTTTTTGTGGGGAAGGGGTACCGGGGTTTGAACTCACAACTTTGCACTTGCCAGGCAGGTGCTTATGCCGCTGAGCTTTATCCCCGGCCTCTGTGTTTCCCTATTCTGGAGGCTGATCCCCACTGAGGGACTGCTGCCTTGGTTTCCCCTGAGGCCTCTGCACACAGCTGCCTTTTCCTGGGCCGAACGCCCCACCTCACCGGTGCAGAGAGCATGCACCCTGTGGCATCTCCACCTCCTCTCACGACGCTGGGGCTACTGGATGGGACCCCATCCCTATGGCCCCCTTTAGCCTCAGTTGCCTCCCTGATGTCCCTGTTTCTCACTGAGCTGGTGGTGTGGGCCTGCAATGCCATCTACTTGGGAGACTGAGGCAGGAGGATTCCAAGTCTCAGGCTGACCCGAGCAACTTAGTGAGACGCTGTGATAAAATGAAACAGGGTTGGGGATGTGGCCCAGTGCTGGAGCCTTTGCCTAGCCTGTACCTCCAAAAGAGAAAGAAGGAAGAAAGGAAAGATCCCATTTCCAACACAGCAACATGGGTTAGGACTGGTGTGCAGGTTTGGGCAGGGCCCCGCTGCCCCCAGGCAGTGGTGTCACCCTATCCCTCCAGAATGGGGGCTGGAGGAGTGGCAGCCACCTGCTGGAGGCTTTGAGCGGGGCCCCAGGATCCCTGACTGCCTCCTCTGTGCACCAGGGAAGGGAAGCCCTCTGCCCGCATGCTGCTGCTGAAGGGCTTCAGCCAGGACGGCTTCCGCTTCTTCACCAACTTCGAGAGCCGGAAAGGAAAGGAGCTGGTGAGTGCTCAGTTACTCCCCAGACCCTCTGCCCTCCTCCCACCCCCACTCCTCTCTGACCATTTCCTCCTGCCCCTGGGCCTTTGCACCTGCCCCTCTCTTTGCTGGGAACCAGCAAGCTGCCCCCACTCCATCCCACAAGATACCTCCTGCTTTTTCTTTCACACTCAGCCCTTCTTACCCTCTCTGAGCAGATTCCACAACTGTAACGTGGGTCTGCTTTTAGAGTTTGTGTGTGTGTGTGTGTGTTTTGCTTTTTGAGACAGTCTCATTATGTAGTCCAGGCTGGCCTCGAACTCATGGTAATCCTCCTGCCTCAGCCTCCCAAGTGCTAGGATGACAGGTGTGCACCAGCATGCCCAGCTTGCTTGCTTTGAGAGTTTAATGAGGTATGACAGCCGATGCAGCCTGGCTCATGGCTGCCTCTGGCCTCCTTGTCATTTCCAGGACTCGAATCCCTTTGCCTCCCTTGTCTTCTACTGGGAGCCCCTTCACCGCCAGGTAAGTGAGCACCTGGCACAGCCTGGGTGGGGTGGTAGGGGGGCGACTTTGTGCCCAAATCCAGGGACGGTGCCCACACCCTGCCGGGCTGGGCACTCGTTCGGGGGCTCCACTCACCCAGCCAGGCCTCCCCGAGCAGGTCCGCGTGGAGGGCCGGGTGCAGAGGCTGCCAGAGGCTGAGGCCGAGAGCTACTTCCACTCCCGCCCGAAAAGCAGCCAGATTGGAGCTGTGGTGAGCCAGCAGAGCTCTGTGATCCCTGACCGCGAGGTGAGTGGCGCCCGAGTGCACCTGGGTGCAGGGACCCGACCTCCTGGGTCTCGCCGCCTCTGCACCTGCTGGTCCAGTCTGGTGCGCATGCTCAGTGGATCACCATCACGTGTCCCCCTTCCGAACAGTATCTGAGAAAGAAAAACGAGGAACTGGAACAGCTCTACCAGGGACAGGAGGTGCCCAAGCCGAAGTACTGGTAAGTGACGGCTGGGCCCAGGGCGCCCCATCGTGATTACAGATCCTCCCTTCTCGGGAACCCTGGTCAGGCAAATGCCTGGGCTGCCTGCAAGAAAGCCGGGTTTGGTGGCACATCCCTGTGATCCCTGCACTGGGCAGGCTGAGGCAGGAGGATCGCTCGAGGCCAGCTGGGCTCCACAGTGAGACCCCGTATGCAGAGAGCTTGAGAGCCCTGGGCTGAGGGTGAGGCGCGTCACCCTCCACGTGGCTGCTTCTCCTCGCAGGGGCGGCTACCTGCTGGTTCCGCAGGTGATAGAGTTCTGGCAGGGCCAGACGAACCGTCTACACGACCGAATCGTCTTCCGGCGGGGCCTCCCCTCAGGGGAGTCGCTGGGACCCATGACCCACTGCGGGGAGGATGGCTGGCTCTACGAGAGGCTGGCACCGTGAATCCGGCATCACTGGCCACAGTGTATCGGGGCTCGGTGCAGAGCGGCACAGACAACCTCTCCCTCCGTCCCTTCTCTCCGTGGAGCCGTCCCCAGCTGGGTCTGAGCTGCAGAGCCTTGGGTCACCACTGCCTCCCAGAGAATCATAGATGCCGAAGAAAAAGTCTGTGTTACTTGACCTTCCCTGTGGTTTTCCCAGAAGCGCCCCCTAGGAGTAGCAGCCGTTGACTTCTTCCCTGGCGAGCTGGGCCCACAGCAGCCCTGCCTGTTGCCGTGGAATTCATGCCAGCTGAGCCAGAAGAGCCCTGCAGATTTCTCATGCACAACTCAGACTTTGAACCAGGCATGGAATGCACGCCTCTAATCCCACCATTCCTGGGAGGCTGAGGCAGGAGGATTGCAACTTTGAGCAGCACCAGGTGGGCAGTTTAGCAACTTACTGAGACCCTGTCCCAAAGAGGAAAAAAATACAGATAAAAAAATAATTTGACTTCAAAATGGGGAGACACGGAGCTTGGGAAGTGATGCCACTAAGTTGTCTGTGGCAGCCCAGAATTGGCAGTTCTCAGGGCCCCCCTTGTCCCCACCTTATGTCTGTGCTCCTCCCCTTTCCCAGAATGCCCCACTGTGTCTGCACATTCTTTTTTCCTCTTGAACTAGCTAGAATTGATTTATATCAAAAAAGAAATGAGAAAAAACCCGCGTTCCCCATTAGGACTTTTTTTTTTTTTTTTTTGGTACCAGGGATCAAATTCATGACCTTGTGCTTGCCAGGCAGGCGCTTATGCCACTGAGCTAAATCCTCAGCTGATAGGACATTTTTATAGCCGTTCCCCCAACGCTGATTCCTGCCGTTCGGTCTTCGGAGCACAGCGATGCGGAAAAGAGATGAAATTTATTCTTTGTGCCACCAGGGGGCGCGCAGGTAGCCGACAGAGCGGGTGGGCCGTGCTTAGCCGCGGGTACCCCGTCCCGGAGTATTCAGTCCCAGCCAGGCAGCGAGCCGTACACGGGTTCGCGTACCGCTTCCAGGACTTTAATGGAGCTTTCCCGTCTGTACCCATCTACAGTGTGTGTGCGCGCGTGCATGGGGGGATACACTGATGTGTGGATTCCATTTTCCGAAAATAAAGTTATTTAAAAAGTATTGGCGTGCCTGCCTTTTCTAGAGGGAATCCCACTTCCCTGGTTTTCACCCACTCTGGGGAGCCTTAAAAACCGGAATCGCCAGCCCCACCGTGACATCCCAGGTCTGTGCGTCCCGCACCGGGACATGCTGGCCTTCAGTCCTGGCTACTTGCCTCGTGGTCCTCCGCCGGCACCGCAGAGTCACTTGGGAGGCAAGCTGCTATGCAGGCTCTCGGTTCCCCACCGGGTCCACCTCGGAATTTTGACCAGATGCCCAGGCACCAGGTGCACCTGCCAGCCTCTCGACCAAGAATGCTGTCCCCCTTATCTTCTGCACCGCTCCCCCCGCCCTTTACAACCTTTCTGCTGAAATGCATTTGATTTTTGTTTTTGAGACCAAGTCGCATTTCATAGTTCAGGCAGGCCTTGAACTCACGATGTACCCCTGCTGGCTTCCAAGTCCAAATGCTCGCTCCTGCCTCAGCCTCCCGACTGCTGGGGTCACAGGCCAGCATCACCACGCTCTGTGCATCTACTTCCTTGAGCACAGGACGCTGCCCTAAGACGTGGGCAGGCGGCCCGTGGCTGTGGAGCGCAGCCAGGCTAATAAATGTTTGCGTGACCAAGCCAGGAGCTGAGAACGGACTCCTTGGCACCATCTGGCCTTGAACTTGCTCCCTTGGCCACGCGCATGCGCCGTGGGTTCCTCCAGGGCCGCCCTGTCCCAGGTTCACTCCTCCAAATGCCCTCAGGTCCTGGGATCCCAGGGCGCCCTTACAGCCCCGCCTTCATGTGCTGGACGCGTAGGTGGAGACGTGCGTCCACCTGTGCTGTGCTGCAGGGAACTGCGTGCCACCACACACCCCGCCCTGGCTTGGACCCCGCCCCCAGGTGTTCCTGCAGGTTCCTGTCACCGTGCCAGGTGTGCAAGGAAAGCCCGCACGCAGCCCCTCGGGATGCTAAGGTTTAACCCTGCGGCTCCGCCTCGCGCCCTGCAGCGCGCTGGCCAGCAGGGGGCGCCGCTGTCCCTCCCCGCGGCTCAGTGAAACCATGCTCCGGGCTCCTGGGCGCGTTCACTTTTTCAGTCCCTCCGGCTCCTCCGATCTGAAACCCTACAAGCTGCCTGGCCCCGGACTCCTCCACGGGCAGTTCTCACCCCAGGCGGGCACCGCCCTCCCCCTTGAGCGCAGATGAGAGCCCACGTGGAAGCCCCAGAGTGCAGGGGGTCAGGGCGCTGTAGCTCTGTAGCCAGCTCCCAGCCTCAGGTTACCTTGGGAGTAAAATACCAAGGCCGGGGTGCTGCTCCTGGGTAATGAGGGGCAGGGCTTCGAGGGTGGGCACCCTCTGAGCTCCTCCGAGGGAGGCTTGTGAGACTCCCAAAGAACTTCCTGTTGTAGGAATGGGGAAGAGGCCTGGGGGGTGCCAGACCCTGAGCCCCCTGCTGACTGCCCCCCAGCCCCTGGGCTGCCCCACTCTTTCCCTGTGTTCCCGGGCCTGGGCGAGGCACCCAACAAAGGCCCCCTTGTCCAGGCCTGTTTGTTTTGGCAATAATTTCCCCAGCAACAACTTCCGGGGTGGGGTGGCCCCTGCTGCTGCTGCCTCCGAGGAGCCGACCTAGAAGCTGCAGGGCCACATTGTTCTGTGTCCTCCGTGGTCTCTGCCTGTTCCCACCGTGGGGTCCAGAGAAACAGGCAATGTCTTCCAGTCCCAAGTGCTTGCGGCTTGAGAAAAAGGCAGGCCCACAATGCTCAGAAGGGAGTGCTCAGCCTTGTTCTTAAACTGAAGCTGTGGGGATGGTGGCATTCCATCACAAAGGGAGAGAAAGGAACCTGCTTTAACTGAGCATCTACTACTGGAATGGCTACAGGCCACTTGAGTTGGACCACTTGTGATGGTTTGCTACAGTTGCTCTTGTAGGGGCTGGGGATTTAGCTTAGTGGTGTAAGTGCATGCCTGTCAAGCTCAAGGTTGTGAGTTCAATCCTCAGTACCAAAAAACAAAAACAGTTGCTTTTGGAGAGAAAGGAAATTGGGAGCCTTTACAAAAAAACTTCCCAAGGTCAGACCAGATGTGGTGCCTGGCTATAATTTCAGCTCTTGGAGGCTGAGGCAGGAGGATCACCATGAGTTCGAAACCAGCCTTGCCTAAATAGTGGATTCTAGTCTGAACTGCATGATAAGACCTTGTCTCAAAAAAAAGGTTCAGGCATGATGACACACACCTGTCCTCCAGGACTGAGGAGGCTGAGGCAGGAGGATCACTGAGTTCAAAGGTCTGTCTGTACTACATAGTGTGATACTATCTCAAAAAAACAAAAGTAAGACCGCCCCTGCATTAACTCAAAGTAAGGACACACATATGTTCTCTGCTTTTGCAACTTTATTACAAAGAAACCCACAATTACTTTTTAAAGAAAATTCAAGGCCCCAGAACTCATCTCTGGGGCTGATCCATCTTAAATATATCGGGGAAGGAGAAAAGAAAACTGACTGCTTTTAGCTCCTAGCGGAGCGATCCTTGAGATGTGTGACCCCAGCCCGGCACAAGTGGCTGCCACCACGGGAACCCAGCAGCTGAGGGCCTTGTGCAGCTGCGCAGAGGGTGCCCGGGTCCTCTCCCCCTCCTCGTCGGTGCAAAGTTCCAGGAAGTTTACAGCCTGCATTAAGATGTGAGCTCAGGTTCAACGCCTCCGCCCGGCACCCAGGAAACCACCTTTGGCAGTCACGGGGCTCCTGGAAGACGTGCCCTCCGGGGATTGGGCCCGGGAGGGACACACGGGGGAATGCCGAGGCCCTGTCTCCACTGCACACCGTGCCCCCTTCCTGTGGCCCTGCCACCTCGCCAGGGGCGACGGTCACCATTCTGGCCCTAGAGGGCCTTCGTGTGTGGTCAGGGGATGATGGGAGGAGCCCCTGCTCCCCCTGCGTACACTGATCTGGGGCACATGACCCAACCCTAAAAACCCATACTTCCTGCCAGCAGGCATAATGTCCCCACGGCTTCTGCTGTGACCAGGAGGCCAGCGTGGCGAGCCCCTGTCTAGGCCCTGCTGAGGGCAGCGAGCAGGGGGTGCTAGAGCCCCCCCCCGGGCTCCCCTCACTGCCCCTTGTCCTCCCGGTCGTCAAAGAGGCCGGGGTTCTCGGCCAGCATGGCGCGCACTTTCTTCTTCTCCTTGAAGCGGCCGGAGTTGGAGACCTTCACGTGCTTGCCCTTCGTGCTCTTGTCCACGATTTTCTCCAGCCGCGTGCTGTAGTCACTGCCGGGGCTCTCGGCCTCGGGCCTCGGGGGCTCCGCGCTGCCCTCGGTCTGCGCGTAGGTCTCGGGTATCTCGTACAGCACCTTGGGCATGGACTTCTTTTTCCGCAGGAAGGTCAGCTTCCACCAACCGACTTCGGTCATGGTGCTCGCTGGCGGCCGGACTTTCTGCGGGAGCAGGGCCGGGGACAGAGGTCAGCGGGAGAAGCCCTGGGCTCGTTCATAATCAGGGCTCTTTGTTTTTATTATAAAGCAAAAACTTTATTACCTCTGAGGTCAGGAAATATTACCAGAGCCCCAGGAGCACCCCCACACCCCTCTCTGACCACTATTCACAGGTCTCTTTTAAGAATTAAAGGTTGATGGCTGGGGAAGCGAAGCCAGGCTTTGGGGGAATGAGGAGAAAAGAAGTCTTGGGAGGCTGAGGCAGGAGGATCACCTTAAGGTCAAAGCCAGCCTGAACCACACACAGCAAGACCCTGCCTCCGAAAAACAAAAAAAAACAAACCAAACCAGGGAAGCCGTTCAGCCAGACAGGGACAATGACACCACCAGCACCAGCAGCACCAGCAGCAGCATGTCCAGAGAGCTGTGGGGAGCTTGCAGGCCACCCCTTCCGGGATCTCAGCCTGCAGGCTGAGCGGCAGCCTGCCTGCCTCAGCAATACCCAGGACTTTGGCACCACTGCCCCACCCTTCCCTCCTGCACCACCTAGAGTGGGCTGAAGTTCTCAGAGCTTTTCCTAATGGGGAGGCCTGGGAGTCACAGGCTGGGACCACAAGCCCCAGGCCCTGCATGGCCTCCTGGCCCATGGCAAGTCACTTCTTTGGCCTCAGTTTCCTTTCTGCCCCCCTTCAGGTCTGCTCCACCACGGACCCCTGCCCCCAGCCCCTGGCGTAGACTTCTCTAAGTCAAATTTGCAAAGGTGGCGGGGATTATTACTCAGACTTCATTTGCCTTTTCCATTTTGTTTTGTTTTGTTTTGTTTTTGGTACCCGGGATCGAACTCACTCACGGCCTCGAGCTTGCCAGGCAGGCGCCTGCACTGCTGAGCTGAGCCCGGCCCTGCAGGGATTATTACAGGATGGTTCCGTTTGCTGCTGGAGGGCAGCTTCACAGGGAGTCAGGAGGAGGCAGAGGCCGTGGAGAGACGACACCGGGGCCGGTGGACCTTCTGAGGAGGCAGCTGCTACGCGGGAGGTGGGAGCAGGGTCTTTAAGCACAACGTCAGCAGAGTGGGGATCGAAGTGGGGGTGCCGCTGGGCCTGGGGTGGTGGGCCGTGCTCTCAGGACTCCTGGGTGTGACAGGAGCTAAGGGACACCAAAGCAGGTGGCCAGGTGGCCAGGCTCCGGCAGGTGGAGCTGATGGCAGAGTCAGGGGTGTAGCCCGGGGGCAGAGCCCTTACCCTAGGTGTGTGAGGCTCTGAGTTCCCTTCCCTGCACCATAAAACAAAACTTAAAGTGAAAGAAGACAGTCTTTTCTACGTCTAGTAAAGAGAGCCAGAAACAGGGGCTGGATGTGGTGGTGCAGTCCCGTTACACTAACAAACCAGGAGGCTGAGGCAGGAGGATTGCCAGGTTTGATCTAATTCTGGACGATTTAGGGACTTCCAAGATTCTTACAATAAACTGTAAAAGAGGACTAGGGATGTAGCTCAGCATGAAGGGTCCACGCTTACTCTCCAGCATCTTAAATTTTTTTTTTTTGGTCTTTTTTTTTTTTTTGATACCAGGGATTGAACTCATGACTGTCTGCTTGCAAGGCAGGCGCTTATGCTGCTGAGCTAAATCCCCAGCCCCCAGCATCTTAAATTTAAAAAATACATAAAAGTGATGATTATTGATTTTCTTTGTGTAGGAGGGGTAGAGACTGTGTTCTCCCCTTTGGTTTTCTGGTTCCAGGCTTCCCATGAGTGTGGCTGGGCACATGGAGGGGTGCAGCCTGTGATCCCAGCTCTCGGGAGACTGAGGCAGGAGGCTCCCTGTGAGTTTGAGTCTGAGGCAGCCTGAGCTTCATAGTAAGATCTTGTCTCAGAACTCGAAACAAAGCACCCTAATGAGCATGGGCTTTTTAGGGGGCATCACCCGGCTGAGGATTCTCAAAGGCTCGGGAGGAGCTGAAAGGCTGCCTCTTCCCACTGCACCCACAAACACACACGTTCACCCCTTCCTGAGTTCAGGCCAGGGGGCACCAGCCAACCTCATCGTGCAGCAAGCAGGCCCCGTGTTGCCCACTCTGCCCTTCTGTGCTGCTGGGCTCATGGAGCTCCTGGGTGCCCACCTAGAGGGCAAGGGGCACGGAACCCCAGTTGGCCATGAGGTTTGCTTTGGCAGTGCGCCCCGCCCCGCCTGGGCTCAGCCTTGCACAGGACACCGTGTTCCAGGCGGGCTCTGCAGGGGGTGCTGGGAGGCCGGCAGGAAGGCCTGGGGGCTGGCATGCAGTCTGGAGTCCCCTGGTCACTGCCTTAATGGGGTCCTGTCCTGGTCACTGTCATCAGGAGGGGCTGGAGAATGGGGCACAGCGGGACCAGAGGGCCCGCACCTACACCTGAGCTCCCCAAGCCATTTCCTGGTCCCCCGCCCCCTGTTGTGGGCATTCAGCTCCTGCCTGAGCCTCTGCACACCCTGGCTGTGGCAGGCACCCCCTGTGGCCAGTTTGCAGCAGGGGTTCTGACTGCCCTGGGAGGGGAGACGCTGTGTTCGTCCATGGTCCTGTCCGTCCGCGCCCCCCCCCCAAATCTCATGCAGGGTAAACCTTGGTCCGCTCGGGTCCGGGACTGGGCCCCTCATCTTGCCTAGGTGCTATTTCCTCGGCTTTGCCACCCCTCAGTCTGGCAGAGCCCTGAGCCCCAGCACACGGCAGCCCTCGCTGTAGAGAGGTCTGAGGAGTGGAAATGAATTCACAGGAGTTCTGTCTCATACTGTACTCCAGCCGGGGGAGACTTTCAACCAAAGGCAATGTAAAATTTGACTTAAATAACGATAGGTGATGTGACATCTGGATGCCCACGGGAGCCAGGGCAGGGCACCCAGGGATTTGCTGCCTGCAGGGCACTGGAGGCGACATCACAGGTCCAGCGTTTGGTGACCTGTGCACGGCCCTGTAATCTGCTGGGCTGGCCCGGCTGAGTACCAGGCCCTTGCCCTAGGGCCCTGCCACCCTGGCCAAGATGGAAATCAGCCTCCTCGTCCAGCACTGTGTGGGGCCCATAGAAGTCCTCCTGGCCTCCAGGGCCAGCCTGCCAAGCCCTGCCCTTCGTGGCCAGCACATTGGGGTGCCCTGGATCCGGCCGGGCCGCCCTGGCTGAGTTCTGTGAGTGCCCTGAAGAGCATTGCCCAGACTGGGCCCGGCAGCTTCGGAGCCAGGACAAGTTAACCATTGACTGGGGGTGGGGAGGGAGGATGTGGGGACCGCTGGGGGAGGAAGTGGCCGCACTGGGGGCACAAAACCAGGGCCCCCTTTCCTCCGCAGGGCTCCTGATGGCCATGTCCACCCTGGATAGGACTGGGTTACTCTGAACAGGAGCAAGGAGCTTCTCCTAGCACACAGGCAGACTAGCACGGTCCAGGCTGCCTGGGTCACACACAGAGTGACAGGAGCTGGGGAGCCTTAAGGGAGCAGCTCAAGAGAGCGACTCTAGCAGCCGGAGCGCTGGCTTGGAGCCCTGGCCTGACTCCAGGAGGCTGCCACCATAGGACTGGATGGAGAGGCGCTCGTGCACCCCGCAGGCCGTCCTAGGGGCCGTGCCTCAGTCTCCCTGCCCACTAGCCCTCTGTGACCCCATACCTGTAATCCTGGCTGCTTCCCTGGAGAAGGGGCGGAGGACAGGAGCCTTGGGGTGCAGGGGAAGCTGCAGGGGGAGCAGAGGGTGCCCCCACAGGTATCCAGATCAAGCCTGGCTGCAGCGGAGAGCAGAGCTGTTCTTTGTCAGGTGCCAGAGAAACAGGTGCAGGAGCTGTGCCTGCCCCGCACAGCCGGTCAAGGTGAACCTGAAACCCGGCCCCTCCCAGCTAAGTCAACAGGAGCAGAGGCCGAGGCTGATGAATGAATATTCATAACCAGGAAACCCAAGCCCGGAGCCCCAGCGCCCCTGCGCCATCCCAAGCCAAGGTACTCCTGGGACCGCTCTGCTGCTTCGGGGGATGCCCAGGAAAGTCGGGGTGGGGGTGCCTGCAGTCCTGGCTCTCAGTCTCCCTACTCTCGGGTGCCTGCTTGCACCCCAAGCTCGTGCAAGGTCACTTGTACCCCCAGAGGTGCAGACAACACCCCCCATCAGGGACCACCCTGGTCCACCTGGGAAAGGGTTAAGGGCTGCTGCCCCCAGCAGGCTGGGCACCTCAGCTTCTTTGAACTCAGAGTAGAAACCAGTCCTGGTTAAACTGGTTGGTGGACCGGTTCCCAGGCCTCTGCTCCTCCCTAGGCTCTGGCTCTGCAGTAGGGCTGGGCAGGGAGCTGCACCCCACAACCTGCAACCCAAAGGACAGCCCCCACCCCCATTCTACCCCCACCACCCACCCCACACCTCTGGACATTCAGGTAAAGCAGCCCCGGTCCTCCTGGGGCCACGCTGTCCTCCTCCCCGTCCTCACCTGCAGAGGGCCCAGGGCCCCTGCTTTTTCTGCAGAGGAAGATGCAGTGCTCAGACCCTCAGAAGGGCAGCAGCTGCCCAGGCCCCAGGTGCTGCCTGGTTGGACTCTCAGGGCTGCCAGCCGCCCGCTGGAGGGTCTGCTCCGGCCTGGGGTTCTCACTTAGGACAAGTAGGTGGCGGCTAAAGAGGCAGCCTGGGGCTGGGGATGAGGGAAGGCAGGTGTCAGGACATTGGGCACTCCCCTGGTCCCCTTCCTCTGGGACCCACAGTCCTGTCTGTCCCCACTGCCTCAGCAGAGCCAGCGCTGCCCCATCCAACCAGCAGCGACCTTGGGTCATGTGTGTGACAGGCCCAGAGGGAGGCACAGGGCACAGAAGGGGGCACCAGCTCCCCTTGCCTGGTTTACCCTTTTTTTTTTTCTTGAGACATGATCTCACTATGTAGCCCAGGCTGGCCTGGAAGTCAAGGCAATCCTCCTGCCTCAGCCTTCCGAGTGAGTGCTGGGATGACAGGTGTGTGCCACCACGGTCCCACTCCTTCCTCCACTTTAAATCCTAACCAGCCACCTCTCAATCCTGTCCCACCTCCCACAACCCCACGTCCTGTGGCCTGGGACCCTGTGCCTCTCTAGAGAGCTCCCAGACCCTCATAGGTTTTGGGTGAAAGAAATTTGGGAAACTGTTTCAGAAAGCATCAAGGACTGGGATGAGTGTGTCCCAAGGAGCAGAGGGTTTGAGGGGCGCACAGCAGTGTCTCTCTCACTGGAATAAACATGTTGAGTTTAAACCTCCCACATACAATGACCTGTTCCTCGGGAAGTTTATTTGGCTCCTCAAGCTAAGAATTCTGCATCAGATCTAGCATACAGCGGGAACTTCAGGCCAACTGGAAAATGCAAGTGACAAACAGGAACTTTCTGCAGGGCCAAGGATCTGCGTAGCATCTGCCAGGCGACTGCCAGGCCCTGAGTTCGAACGCCAGTTCAAAAAAAAAAATCTGGTTGGAAACTTCCTGCAGCCCCTTGCTCTCTCCTGCTCCCCCAGGGCAGGGAAATGTGACTGAGAGCTCGTTTCTTCAGTGTCTGGTGGCCTTGTCCATGCAGCTGCACACAGCTGTCCGGCTTTCCTGTGGTCACCTCTGAGCCGTGGATGCGGGGAGTCAGGGTTGATCCAGATTTGAAGGATGCTGTTTGTAGCCACAGCCTCCAGATCTGTCTCTCTCAGGAGCTCAGGCTGCTGTTGTCCAGAAGACCCCAGAAGCTGGGTGTGGTGGCACAAATCTGTCACGCCAGCATTGGGAAGGCTGAGACAGGAGGATTGCCACCTCGAGTTCAAGGCCAGCCTGGGCTCAGTAAGGAGACCCAGTGTCAAATGAACAAACAAAATTCATCCGAGCTCAGGTATTGGGAGAATCGGAGGCTGGTAGGGAGCACTTCAGCCCTGCTTCCTACCTACGCTCCCTACCTTGAAAGCCCTCAAAAAAAAAAAAAAAAAAAAAAAAAAAGAAAGCCCTCTGGGGCCTGGTCTCAGCCCTTGGTCTCAGCCCTCAGTGCCCTTCTTATGCACTGTGGCCCCGTCTTGGGGAGGGATGGGCCTGGCCCTGGCCCAGCACCGCCCCAGGGCATTTACTGCCGAGGAGCAGACAGGGAGGGAGGGCTGTGAACCCAGCTGCCCCCAGTTGCTTGGCTGTGTGTAAAAATGCTAGGGCACACTGCACACCACACGGAGAGAGAGTGTGGACAGGTGTGCACAGGACAGAGCACACCTTCTCAGACATGCATTCCTTGTGTAGTGACAACGCTAAACCTCACCTAAAAGAACCTGAGCCATCAGCACGTTGGGCCACAACCACCCCCCACCACAGGATGATAAATCCAGTCTCCACTTCAGTGACCTCTGCCTGGAAGTAGATGTAGGCTTCAGGGACCTTTTTGTTGTTGTTGTTGTTGTTTTGAGTCAGGGTCTGTTTATAGAGCCCAGGCTGGCCTTGAACTTGCATTGATCCTCCTGCCTCAGCCTCCCAAGTTCTGGAATGACAGGCATCAGCCACTGCCAGCCAGTACCACAAACCAGGAAGGATGCAGACCAGACTGTGCCTCAGGGCCTCTGGTAGAGCCAACTCTGCCGAACCCGAACTCTGATTCCTGACTTCTGGCTTCCTGAACCACAAGAGAATCAGTTTCCCTTGTTTTATGCCACCTGGTTTATGCCATCTGCTACAGTGATCCTCAAAAGTTTGAATATTGGGGCTGGGATTTAGCTCAGCGGCATAAGTGCCTGCCTTGTAAGCAGGCAGTCGTGAGTTTGATCCCTGCTACTGATAAAAATGAAAAAGACAAAAAAATTTTTTTTGAATATTAGGAGCCAGGCATGGTGGCTCACGCCTGTCATCCCAGCACTCGGGAGGCTGAGGCAGGAGGATTGCTGTGAGTTCGAGGCCAGTCTGGGCTACAAAGTGAGCTCAGGGCCAGTCTGAACTGCAAGGGGAGACCATGCCTCAAAAAGACAAAAAAGAGAAGGGAAAGGAAGAGAAGGGAGAGGAGGGGAGGGGAGGGGAGGGGAGGGAAAGAAGTTTGAATGTCTTCATCCATCACCACTCTGGTTCCAGGTCTGCTGCAGCCCTGTCTCACTGCAGGAAGCAAAGCCACCTCTTCAAGGGAGAGAAGCTGTCCGTGTCCCCCAGCTGAAGAAACCAGCCACACAGGGCACGGTCTCCCAGGGCTCTGCTGCCACCAGCTGGGGGCTGGGCCAAGGACCGAGTTCCAACCCTTGATGTGGGCCTTGGCCCCTCATGACCATCCTGCCGATCTCTCTGACCTAATGTCTCTGGGCCTGGCCAGTGGAACCCAGTACTGCTCTCTCCTGGCCCCCAGAACTCCAGCCACGCCTCTCAGCTGGCTTCTGTGCATTTGTTAGTTTTAACTGTTTGAGACAGGGTCTCACTCTGTATAGCCCAGGCTGGCCTTCACCTTGTGACGATTATCCTGTCTCAGCCTCTGAAGTGGTGGCATGCACCCAGGGATGGGGCTGGGGCTGGCGTGCTGGCACAGGCACAGGGTGAGCCCGCCCTCCACAGCACCCTCAGAGATTGAGCCTTTGCATGATGATCCCAGAGCCTGGGCAGCCGGCTGGGCCAAGGTGGACCCGTGCAGGACAGGAGGCTGATGGGAGGCGGCCAGCGAGGACACGGCTTCCTTCCTTCCCCTGGCTGGGCCAAGCATCTGAAATAAACACAGTGGTATCCTTGGGAGACGGCACCAGCACCGACCCAGGGAGTTGGTTTTCCCCGATGACTAAGGGAGGTGAAAGGGCGGAGGCGGGGCAGGCCAGGGCAGAGGGCGCAGGGGTCAGCTGGAGCAGCGCCAGGGCCAGCCCTGGGTGGCCTGTACTCCACACCGGAGGTGACCAGGCCGGGTCAGAGGGTGGACTCCACGTCCAGAGCTGTAAAGGGAGGGATGTGGAAGGGGGCTGGGGACCAACTGCTGAGGCCCCCACTCTTCATGGCCACCGCCTGCCATCCCAGCACGATGGAGGCTAAGGCGGGAGGATCGAGTGAGTCCAAACAGGGCAACCCTTTTAAGCCACCTAGGAGGTGTCCTGGACAGTGGGAAAAGCCTGGGGTCCAGCCTGCCCCACCCTGCTGTGCCCTCCTGTTGGTTCAGGGCGGGGTGCTTCACACCCACAGGGTGTCCCAGAGAGCCCTGCACATAACTGGAGCCTGGCAAATGTTTGCTCAGTGCTGGGGGAACCTTTGTAATTCCTGCTGCCTGAGTCAGCCTCTGAGGTCAGAGCCAGATTCCCAGGACAGCCCGGAAGTGGCCCTCGACCAGGACCCCAGGAGCCCTCAGCCTGAAGCCCAGGCTGGGACAAGGTGTCAAAGGTTTTAGTTTCTTAAGTATAAAAACATGCACCTGAAGTTTGTTGTGAGTTAGGGTCTAGGCAGCCATGGCTAGCCTGAACTCATGCTGATCCTCCTGCCTCAGCCTCCCTAGTGCTGGGATTACAGGTGAGAGGCACCACAGCCAGCATGTCTGTTTATTTATTTAAGGCTCAGAATAGAAATACCCTGAGATAGGAGAGGTGTTATCTCTGCGTGGAGAAAGCTGAGGCTATCCTAGAGGCATGGAAATGGTCCAGGGTCTTCCAGGGCAGGAATCTAGGTCTCACCACCTTGGTTTCAACCAGGGAGCTCAGTGCCAAGTCTCTGAGCCCAGGGTGCAGTGCCTCAGTGGGCAGTGGGCAGGGTTACAAACAGCATGTCCAGCTTGACAGGTCCCCAGGAGTCTCCCTCCCTCCACCACTGCTCAGCCCACCTCAAACCCTTTCTGTGGTTGGCCAGCCCTGGGCTGCATGCAGGTCAGCCTGTGTGCAACCC